GTGGTGTTGGTGTGACTGATGATGATGGTGGTGGTGTGACTGATGATGATGGTGGTGGTGTGACGTTGGTGTGACTCCGGTTTGATGGTGTATCCGCGATCAGTGCTGTTGGCCTTGTCCGGTGACACTGGATCCGCTATCGGTGTCGGCCACGCGGCTGACAGCGGCCGGTGGATGTGATGATGTCGTTAGGGTCTGGTTAGTGAGCTCCGGTGGTTGTTGGGATTTGACGTTGGGGGGGGGGGGGGTGTTGGTGTTTGGAACGGTGCGCCTGTGTGCATCATCCATCATTGTGTGACGGGGAGGCGCGCGCCCCCGTGGTATTAGACTATTCGCGCGTATTCATAAGAGCGAAATGTCAGCGCCTGCATAATGACGCATAATCGCCGTGTCTCCCTCTTTCCCAGCGACGCCTCGCACCCTCCATCCCCTCCCTCCCTCTCCCTTCCCTTCCTCCACACGGGCGCGACCCTAATGTGGGGGTGTTGGGGAGGGGGTAACCGCCTCCCCCCGCCGCCACCTCCACATCTCCCTATCTCCCTGCATCCGTAACACCCCCCGACGTCGGCATCTCCATATGCGATGCGATTCTATCTCGCCCTTGGTCTACACGCGCCTCCCTCCGACATCCTCCGCCTGCGTGCGAGCGAGCGTGCGTGCGTGCTCTGGCTGGTGTCTGCCCGCGTCTGGGTGTGCATCTACGACGATGATCTCCTTTTCGCCCTGTGCGGTGCCCGTGTCGATGGGGGTAGAACACCTCTTGTGCCGCGACCCCGTTCGCTTGGCCTGCACGCACCCACGCACGCCGACTTTCTTTCGCGCCGTACGTCGCCAATCCTCGCCAATCGGGAGTTGCGGGTGGGAAGGGCGGCAAACCGAACACAAGCGGCGCATTTTTAAGAAAATTAAGTTTTCCATCGAGATTGCTTAAACGCGCAGCTCCAGGTTGACTTCCGCACATCGGAAGAGCGTTCCAGACGGCCGCGGAAGCCGCATCCGATGCGGTGGCCGTCTTTGTTCGGTGGCCAGGCAAAAACAGGCGCCAGCGAGGATGCTGGGAGTTCGCACGATGCTCTCTGCTCCTTGGCGAGGTCCGCGAGGTATTGTGGTCCATTTGCGGCAAGCACTTGAGTGTGTAACGAGTGTGTAACGAGTGTGTAACGAGTGTGTAACGAGCGTGTGTAACGAGCGTGTAACGAGCGTGTAACGCGTGTGTAACGAGTGTGTAACGAGCGTGTAACGCGTGTGTAACGAGTGTGTAACGAGCGTGTAACGAGTGTGTAACGAGTGTGTAACGAGTGTGTAACGAGCGTGTAACGCGTGTGTAACGAGTGTGTAACGAGTGTGTAACGCGTGTGTAACGAGTGTGTAACGAGCGTGTAACGCGTGTGTAACGAGCGTGTAACGAGTGTGTAACGAGTGTGTAACGAGCGTGTAACGCGTGTGAAACGAGTGTGTAACGCGTGTGTAACGCGTGTGTAACGCGTGTGTAACGCGTGTGTAACGAGCGTGTAACGAGCGTGTAACGAGCGTGTAACGAGTGTGTAACGAGTGTGTAACGCGTGTGTAACGAGCGTGTGTAACGAGCGTGTGTAACGAGTGTGTAACGAGTGTGTAACGAGTGTGTAACGAGCGTGTAACGAGTGTGTAACGAGTGTGTAACGAGCGTGTAACGAGCGTGTAACGAGTCACGATGTGTTGTTCGTGCAGCTCGACCGGACGGACACGGTCAGATCTTGCAGGCCGAACCCCTTTCACACCGTACGTAGCCAAACCGTGCTCATCGGAGTTGTAGAGAAATTAGTTTTCAGTCTAGATTTAAAAGGCTTGGCATAACGTGGGGGGGGCATACAAAACCCGGGGGGGGGGGAGACTGACATCGTCAACTTTAAACAAACTAAAAAAGCTAAACGATAGCGCGCTAGCCTCTTGTTGCAGATGTGCGCGGTTCGATTCTGGCGGGCCGCCCTGGTGAATACTGCGGTGCGAGTATTAACCGCCGTAAAAAATAACACCCAGCGATAGCGCGCTTGCCACTTGTTACCGAGGTCCGCGGTTCGATTCTAGCGGGCCGCCCTGGTTAATACTGCGGTGTCGGTATCAACTATAAAAAATACCACCCACCAAAAGGGCGCTCGCCGCTTGCTGCAGAGGTTCGTGATTTGCATCTAGCAGGCCGCCCTGGTGAATACTGCGGTGCGAGTATGAACCGTAAAAAAACACCATCCAGCGATAGCGCGCTTCCCGTTTGTTACCAAGGTTCGAATCCGGCTTCTTGTTGCAGAGGTCTGCGGTGCGATTCTAGCAGGCCGCCCTGGTGAATACTGCGGTGCGAGAATTAACCGTGTAGCCACCACCGGGGCGGCCGTCTGCGTCACTCACAAGCGGGACGCCATTCACAAGAGGAGGCCTGTGTCAGCGTCCGCATTTTGATCACGACACCTCAAAATTACTCGATCGGGATTATACATCGCAATGACCGCCCCTCCACCCCTTAATGCAAAAAAAAAAAGGACACGTGGCAGGACCCTCCTGAAAAAGCCACCAGACTCGGCGAGGCTTTCCTGGATAAAACAAGCAGAACAATGACAATGACAAACTGTCCGCATTTGTCAATCGTGCATTCTGCCCTGCCTTGGAGGAATTGCCGGCCCGTCGAGCCTCCGCGGAGCGGTACCTATTTTACTGACCCAAGAGGACGATGGGGGGCCCGAGGTGACCGCCAACCACGACTGAAACTCGCGACCCTCTTGACTTGTGTAGGGCACCCACTCGCAAACGCAGCGGGCCCCGCCCGGCCAGGAGGCGGACGAGACAAAGATCGCCCCACAGCGGTTCGGAGTGTTGGAGCAAGCGGTGTTAGCGAGCGCCTATTTAAGGCCGGCTGCATGACCCAAGGTTGGTGGTACGAGCAGAACCGCGCCCGGGCCCACGGTTTCCCTCCCGTGCCGACGTTTGCACACCGCGCCAGGTACTAAGTTGAGGCTGTCTGCACGCACGTTGGAAGTTCTTGTGCAGTGCACGTAGCCGACAGCACCAATTGGGGGCTTCGACCTAAGCGAGGCCCAGGACCGGTTCAGACAAATGTCACACCGATGTTAGCCGGAGCACGGGAATCGAAATCGGGTCGTAGCCCAGTGCGCTAACCACCGCGCCACTGATCCACACACACACACACACAAAAGTAAAGACAAAAGTAACCCCCCTGCCTACAGCCTGAACAGACTTTTAGGGCAAGTGCTGTAAGCGAGCACCCCCGAAGGGCCAACACGGCACACGAGGGTGTGGGTGGCCAGCACCACGCCCGGCCGCCGCTGCCTCCACGGTACCGATGGCTGCACGCCGCACCAGGCGCTCGTTTCAGGCCTCAGTCGACCGAGCGGAGAACGGGGCACCGGTCCGGACAACGGTCGCCCGATGTTAGCCGGGAGCGAGAATCGAAACCCGGCTCGCCGGATTCGCACCGTGGCGCGCCGACCACTGTGCCACGGCTCCCCCCACGCTCGCTCGCTCGCTCGCACGCTGGGCGGGCCACGCGGGCGTAGTGCCCGGAGTGTAAAATATAATTCACGAACAACTCGAGCCCTTTGTGCTCGAGCCGCGGAGGTGAGCGAGGCGCCAGGGGGGCGGGCGCCGACAATCGCACCCGGAGCGTGTTCGGGTTAGAGGCGCGCGAGCGCAACGTCCACCTCGTGACGGACTGCGATTTGCCGCGAATTCCTCTTCTCTCATCGCTCGCCGCCGATTTCTCCCCCTACCCGCACCGCCCCCGCAGCCCCCACGTCCGAAGGCATTCGGCCAGGGCGATGTAATTTCTGGAGAGAGCGAGCCAGAGGATGGGGATGGGTCGAGGTGGCCGGGGTGGCGGGTGACTTCACCGCGCATTTGTGTAATGTGATGAGTTGGCGGGGAGTGAATGCACGGGAGGGGGGGGGGAGCGGCAAGAGCCGAGCGGCTGCGAGGCGGGGGTGGGGGTAGTGGGTGGTGGGTGGTGGTGGTGTGGTGGGGTGGGTGGTAGGGTGGGTGGTGGGGTGGGTGTTAGGGTGGTGGGGTGGGTGGGTGGTGGTGGTGGTGGTGGGGTGGTAGGGTGGTGGTGGTGGTAGGGTGGGGTGGGTGGTGGTGTGGGTGGTGTGGTGGGTGGGGGTGGGGGTAGTGGGTGGTGGGTGGTGGTGGTGGGGGTGGTGGTGGTGGGGTGGGTGGTGGGGTGGGTGGTGGTGGGGTGGGTGGTGGGGTGGGTGGGTGGATGTTAGGGTGGGGTGGGTGGTGGTGTGGTAGGGTGGGGAAGACTGATTACTCCGGGAAGCCCGTCGCAGTCGCTTTTGCAAAACAATGGCGCGCCAATCTCGGCGAGGGCTGACAGCTGCCATTACACTTGACAGCTCAAAATCACATTTTCACGCTCGCTTGAGCAACGGCGGTGTAAATAACAAAAAAAAAAAGGGCCGGGGGAAGCGGGGCGAGCTCACGCTCACATTATCCCACGCGTGCTTTCCGCCGCAAACACGATTAAACCGCGGAATTAAAAACGGAGATTCCCCCGAGGAGCACTTCTGCTTTTGTTTCCATCCGCCCGGGGAAACGCTGGAAAAAATATTTATTGGGAATTGTGCGGAACCGCGGCGGCGCGTATTCCATACGCGCTCGCGATGAAGGAGGCGCGTTTTTAACGACGCGGTTTTCGGTCCGTCCCTGGCGGAGAGGCCCGTCCACGTTTGGCGATGTTTAACAGAGGTCCGGCGGCACGGACCGGGCGACGGGATTGCCGGCGTCACCGTCCATCGCGCGCCAAAAAAAAAATTAAAAAAATCCCACCGGTGACTTCGCGACACAGGAGCAACCTTGTCGGCGGGACAACGAGAGGCGACTGTGACTGTGACGTCACATCCTGTCCGACAATACGCTCCCACCACCACCCACCACCACCCACCACCACCACCACCACCACCCACCACCACCACCACCACCCACCGTTTTCCACTTCTTGAGAGAATTGTGAAACAAGGAAGTGACGTCACAGGAAGTCACGTCACGCTGCGCGGCACGCTTAAAAGGACTGTCAGGATCGTGATTCGGTTTTAGGGACGTGTTCTTTTTGTTCGGATTTGTCTCGTTTGTGCTGCTGTCCGGACCGCCCGTCACATTTGTACTGCCCGCACTCCCGTTCCAACCATTCGGGTAACAGTCAACAGACGCTCACGGCTGACACTACTGACACCATCTCCAGTGTATTTACGTATGCATGTTTTAACTTCTTTCGCACCGCATGCAGCCAACAGTCCCAAATCGGAGGTGCGGAGTTAATTAGCTGCGTTGGGTGGTGGCGGGTTTAACGGCACATTTACATCCAGGCACTCTAAAACGCAACAAAACAACTCTCTCGCGGGTGACACCGGTCGCCGAAAGCCTGCCGCTGCGTGTTAAAAACTCGAGCGAATGGCCGTGGCGCGCCCAGCCGGGCGACACTCCCGGCGAGACTCGCTACCACGGAACGGTCGCCAACGAGGCCGAAGCTGCTTCAGGGGACGGGGGAGGGGGCGCCGGACGGACGCCGCGGAGGCTCGCGAGCGCCGGAGGGAGGGGGGGGGGGTCAGTGGTGGTGGTGGTGAGCCTGCCGGAAACGGAGGCCACAGTATCCGCACACGCCCTCCTTGTCGTTGTTGTCCTGCGGGCGGGCGGGCGGGTGGAGATGGCGCCAAGCCGCGGCCGTCAAAGAGACAGAAACGAAGCAACAGCAGCAAACGTTAGAGAGGGCACGGAACCACCAAATCAAGTAATGAGTACGTTTACCATTCGCGACATTCTGACGGCCCAAGGCTATTCCCAAGGCGCGACGTTTTAGCGACATTCGTCTGCAGTAAACGCACAGACGATTGCTGTGCGTTTTCCCAATTCAGGAACGTGTGGGTAAAAATTGAGACCGTGACGCTGACACGGGTGGCCTGTTCATTTTCCCCCCAACAACGTCGCTGGGAGCTTTCACGTCGACCGTTCGCAAGCAGGCGCCGCGTCGTATCTGCGGTTAATACACCCGCGGTGTTAAACCCGGGCGGCCGTGGGGATCCACCCACCAACCGTCCTGCAACAGGAGCAGCAAAGGCGCTACCGCTTGGCCATGTCATTCCACAGCTGGTGTGCGGAGACCGCCGGATAAACAAAGTGCATTATAACCACAGTAAAAGCCTCGATATCTACGAAGTGGATGCGTTCCTGGAGCTCTCTTTGTACATTGGAACTTCGTACGTTGAACAACTTATAACATCAGTTCTACGGGGATGCGTTCCCAGCCTGCATAACTTACCATTTCATACTACAAACACTGTAGAACGTATTATTCATATTGTAAAGAACGACAATTTTGTCTTGAAAATCGTAGTACATTTTATACTTTACGGCATTAGGATTAAAAAAAGTGCCGTAAATAAAACAGTGATTAAAGTAATTTTCATCCTATTAATACAGTACCACAGATGGACGAATTTATTCGTTATTTATTCATTCCGTGAATTAATTATTTTATTCTCAACCTTCTACGTAAAAGAACGGTACAAAATTCCAAAGTTCGTTCTGCCCACACTTCATTCATGGAATATACGCATATCGAGGGATAGCTCGATACGCATCTCCGATTAGCACGGTTTTCTACGTACGTACGTACGTACTGTACATCGGGGGCTTGGGGTTACAGCAGCAGCTCCCAATCTTTCTGGATCCACCGACCGCCGTGAACACGCCACTCAGGCTGCTCGCGAAACACCACGCAGAAATAGCGTGCTTCTCTTCCAAATTCAAACTACTTTTAAATCTTGATTTAAAGGATTTCGTGACTGCAGGGATTCATATTCTTGGTTCTTTCGGTGAAGTCACCACGTAGAAGGGAAACAAGAAAATATTGTTTTATATTGGTATTATTTTATTGTTTCCCTTCTACGTGACTTTACCGAAAGAACCAAGAATACTTTTAAATCGTAGCATCCGCAACGGTCCCAACGAAACTGTCGCCGGGTCGATATTTATCGTCGTTGACAAACGCGTCGGCGCCTTTCCGCCACAAAGGCCGTGGCCGCTCAGGGCGCCCACGGCCTCGCGGAACCCGCCGGCGGGTTCCGCGGACCCACTGGGCGAGTGGCGGGGCGAGTGGTGGGGCGAGTGAGCGGGGCGAGTGAGCGGGGCGAGTGAGCGGGGCGAGTGAGCGGGGCGAGTGAGCGGGGCGAGCGAGCGGGGCGAGTGAGCGTGGCGAGTGGCGGGGCGAGCGGCGTGGCGAGTGAGCGGGGCGAGTGGCGTGGCGAGTGAGCGTGGCGAGTGAGCGGGGCGAGTGAGCGTGGCGAGTGAGCGGGGCGAGTGGCGTGGCGAGTGAGCGTGGCGAGTGAGCGGGGCGAGTGAGCGGGGCGAGTGGCGGGGCGAGTGAGCGGGGCGAGTGAGCGTGGCGAGTGAGCGGGGCGAGTGAGCGTGGCGAGTGAGCGTGGCGAGTGGCGGGGCGAGTGGCGTGGTGAGTGGCGAGGCGAGTGAGCGGCTGCAAGCGGGCACCAGGTTGATGTAGACACGCGGGTGGCCCAGGGCTCCGCCGCCGCCATCACAGTGAGTGACGCGCGTCGCCACCTCCCGCACCGGCTCCGCGGCGATCATGTCCACGGCAAACTGCTCGTTTATCTGTCCGGGGGTCACGGAGGGTTCACACCACGTACACTTAGCGGGGGGCGGGGTATCACACTAATCCAGGTAACACTTAGCCAGGATTACACTTAGCCAGGATTACACTTAGCCAGGATTACACTTAGCCAGGATTACACTTAGCCAGGATTACACTTAGCCAGGATTACACTTAGCCAGGATTACACTTAGCCAGGATTACACTTAGCCAGGATTACACTTAACATGGGCTACACTTAACATGGGCTACACTTAACCAGGGTAACACTTAGCCAGGATTACACTTAACAGGGGTAACACTTAGCCAGGATTACACTTAGCCAGGATTACACTTAACAGGGGTAACACTTAGCCAGGATTACACTTAACAGGGGTAACACTTAGCCAGGATTACACTTAGCCAGGGGTAACACTTAGCCAGGATTACACTTAACAGGGGTAACACTTAGCCAGGATTACACTTAACAGGGGTAACACTTAGCCAGGATTACACTTAACAGGGGTAACACTTAGCCAGGATTACACTTAACAGGGGTAACACTTAGCCAGGATTACACTTAGCCAGGATTACACTTAGCCAGGATTACACTTAGCCAGGATTACACTTAGCCAGGATTACACTTAGCCAGGATTACACTTAACAGGGTAACACTTAGCCAGGATTACGCTTAACCAGGGGTAACACTTAGCCAGGATTACACTTAACAGGGTAACACTTAGCCAGGATTACACTTAACCAGGGGTAACACTTAGCCAGGATTACACTTAACAGGATTACACTTAGCCAGGATTACACTTAACAGGGTAACACTTAGCCAGGATTACACTTAACCAGGGGTAACACTTAGCCAGGATTACACTTAACAGGGGTAACACTTAGCCAGGATTACACTTAACAGGGGTAACACTTAGCCAGGATTACACTTAACCAGGGTAACACTTAGCCAGGATTACACTTAACAGGGGTAACACTTAGCCAGGATTACACTTAACAGGGGTAACACTTAGCCAGGATTACACTTAACCAGGGGTAACACTTAGCCAGGATTACACTTAACCAGGGGTAACACTTAGCCAGGATTACACTTAACAGGGTAACATTTAGCTTGGGTTACACTTAACCAGGGTTATATTTAACTTGGGTTACACTTAACAGGGTAACATTTAACTTGGGCTACACTTAACCAGGGTAACATTTAACTTGGGCTACACTTAACCAGGGTAACATTTAACATGGGTTACACTTAACAGGGGTAACATTTAACTTGGGCTACACTTAACCAGGGTAACATTTAACTTGGGTTACACTTAACAGGGTAACATTTAGCTTGGGTTACACTTAACCAGGGGTAACATTTAACTTGGGCTACACTTAACCAGGGTAACATTTAGCTTGGGCTACACTTAACCAGGGGTAACATTTAGCTTGGGTTACACTTAACCAGGGTAACATTTAGCTTGGGCTACACTTAACCAGGGGTAACATTTAACTTGGGTTACACTTAACAGGGGTAACATTTAACTTGGGTTACACTTAACCAGGGTAACACTTAGCCAGGATTACACTTAACAGGGGTAACATTTAGCTTGGGTTACACTTAACAGGGGTAACATTTAGCTTGGGTTACACTTAACCAGGGTTACATTTAACATGGGTTACACTTAACAGGGGTAACATTTAACTTGGGCTACACTTAACCAGGGTAACATTTAACTTGGGCTACACTTAACCAGGGTAACATTTAACTTGGGTTACACTTAACCAGGGGTAACATTTAACTTGGGCTACACTTAACCAGGGTAACATTTAACTTGGGTTACACTTAACCAGGGGTAACATTTAACTTGGATTACGCTTAACCAGGGGTAACATTTAACTTGGGCTACACTTAACCAGGGTAACATTTAACTTGGGCTACACTTAACCAGGGTTACATTTAACTTGGGTTACACTTAACCAGGGTTACATTTAACTTGGGTTACACTTAACCAGGGTTAACATTTAGCTTGGGCTACACTTAACCAGGGTAACATTTAACCAGGGTAACATTTAACTTGGGCTACACTTAACCAGGATTACGCTTAACAGGGGGTAACACTTAACATGTGTTACAATTGGCCAGGATTATGCTGAACAGGGATAACACTTGACCGACGTTATAAAGGCGCAGCCCTGCATATACTTGCTCTCTTGTCACTGCTGGAGGAAGTGCCCTCCGCTAGAGGCAGCTATATAGCTCAATGGGCATTACCTGGTAAAATCAAAATCGCTTACTTTCTGAAAAAAACAACGTTGTACGCTTCGCCTATCCGCCCCCTGTTGTACAATGCTGTGTACTGCACGTGTTACTGGTGGGACTCCACCAAATCCCATGTTGGGTGATTCTCAGCCTTGTACCGGATCACCCACGCCACCCACAGTGACCGTCAACTCATTGACCGCGTGCGGCCGCGTTACTCAAGCTCGCCGTTAATCAGCGGGCCAACGCGGCAGTGAAAATGAATCGGGGTTGGCGGATCACAAAAGCTCGTGAGACTCCCTAGCCACAGGAGTCGAGGTCGCCATCTTCTGGCTTGCCGGGGTATGATAGCGGTGCAGCGAGTGGATCAATTTTAATCTTCTTGGTTCTGTCGGTAAAGGCACGTAGAAGGGAAATTATGAAATAATAAAAATATAAACCAATTAAATTATCGCGACGTTTCCATTGCAACACAAGCAATCATCATCAGGTGCGAAAACCACAGCAAGAAAAAAAGAGCTGTGGTTTTCACACCTGATGATGATTGCTTGTGTTGCAATCGAAACGCCGTGATAATTTTATTGTTCTATTGTTATTTTAATGTTTCCCTTCTACGTGGTGACTTTACCGAAAGAACCAAGAATATGAATCCCTGCAGTCACGAAAGCTTTAAATCGAAATGTAATTTTCATCTGTTCGGGGATTGATTGGAACTCACCACCTTAACGTCCGTGGGGCGTCCATGGGTACCGCTGTTTCCCAAACGCTCGTGAATGCAGTTGACCAAACATCCCAATATAGGACAACAGAGCTTGGGAAATTGCTGGCGCCGGTTCTGGCTGCCTTCCCGGCTTCTCTGTGGTTTCCCACAACCGTGAATCATTCTCTACCTCTGCGAGTGAAGGATTACACGATTGTGAATTATTTTTATTATTTTTATTTAACGCGTACTCAGTTTGTAAATGTTGTGGCTTGGCTCTCCCAACACACCAGTGTGCTGTACTAGTACACTACACTATACACTACACTATACACTACTATACACTACACTGTATACTACACTACTATACACTACACTACTATACACTACACTATATACACTACTATACACTACACTACTATACACTACACTACTATACACTACACTACTATACACTACACTACTATACACTACACTACTATACACTACACTGTATACTACACTACTATACACTACACTACTATACACTACACTACTATACACTACACTACTATACACTGCACTATACACTACACACTATACACTACTATACTATACACTACACTATACACTACTACACTATACACTACTACACTATACACTACACTATACACTACTATACACTACACTATACACTACACGCTAGTGCTGTACTAGTGACGAATTGGCCACGTTCTGTTTACGTGACAAACCCTTACTAGTTGGCCGTGTCGGGTGGTGGCGGGTTTTAACGACACAACATTTACACATTTACACGATCTAACCCCACAAAAAAACTTCCATTATGGATTTCCATTCTTCTTATTATCACTACGACCAAGTTGGGCTATCGCTTAATTCAGCTCACCTCCTTCTGTCGCCCCACGAAGCGCACGCGCCGATAGTCCTTCTCATCGTACACCTGCCGACAAGGGGGAGCAACACATCAGCGTGTCACGTCACCGGGGGCTTCGTGGAGGCCCCAGACCGCGCACCTCCGCTAAGCACACGGTTGGCCACGCACGGTGGGGAAGACATTCAGCATTCAAACAGACATCGCCAACAGCGACACCCCGGACACGTCCATTGCTGTATATATCCTTAGCTCTTTTCGGTAAAGTCACGTTTGAAGGGAAACGATAGAATGATAAAAAATATATATATATAAAACAATAAAAAATTCTCACGACGTTTCGACCGCAACAAAAAAGCATAACACAAACGGTCGTTTGTGTTATGGTCGAAACGTCGTGAGAATTTTTATTGTTTTATATATATTTTTTATTATTCTATTGTTTCCCTTCAACGTGACTTTACCGAAAGAGCTAAGAATATGAATTGCTGCAGTCACGAAAGCTTTAAATCAAAATTTTACGTCTATTACTCTCACCAAATGATCATTAAGCGTCATCGTGAATGCCACATTAAATAACGCCCCGTGCATATTTGCCTCTACACGACCCCACTGAACACACGACTGGGGTTGCCACCTCTTCCAATGTAGATTTGCAGACCAAACCCATACATGTATTTATGGCAGCCTAGGGCTATCACATCTGCGTCGTACGCAGTGCTCCAATAAAGTACAGTACAATACCGGTGCCATCGAACCAAAGACGATCACCGCATCGCGCGCTTTCGGATGCGCTTCTGCGGCCGTCTGGAACGCTCCTCCTTCCGATATAAGGGAGCCACTGGGGTTATGCGCACTTAGAAAGCAAGACTGAAAACTCTTTTGAACTGATTTTTGTCCTTACCCCGCACCTCCGATTAGCACGGTTAGCTACGCACGGTGCAAAAGAAGATCATACACGCATACGTACCAGATCTCGGTACAAATAAATCCCTGCCACCCAAACAAAAGATGACAATTCCCGGAGTGCCCGGTGGCAACCGTGCACATGGCATTCTGGGAATGCATCTCATCAGCAGCATTGGTTGAATACTTGCAAACTCTGAACTACCAGACTCTCTCTCTCTGTGTTAGATATGGGTGTTAGTTCGACGCGAAGCTACATCATACATAGCGCTAAATAATCGTGAGGGTCGTTGCGTTAATTAATCATTCCGAACAAGAAGCGTCTTTGCGCTCCTTCAAGATGGTCTCACGCCATCGCTAGTCAATCCCGCGCCCCTTCACAGGACAGGCCTTCCGTCCATCCACTGCTGGATGAGGGCCTCCCCACGCCGTGCTGGTCAAGGTGGTTGTTGACCATACTTCGCCACGCTGGTCAGTGCGGGTTAGTGAAGGCGGGGGAGAGGGGGGCAGTGGGCATAGAAAATGGGAGCATAGAAAGTAGAGTACTGTACAATACTGCAGTGGATCGATCTGCATTGTCCTCTGCTGCCCAATAAGAATAGGCCTTTACACTTTCTCTAGGCAATAAAACAGATTTGGAGATCGTAATCAACCAGGCTATGCGTTAACTGTGTGTTAGCCGACTCTCTGTGTTGCATTACATTACATTTGCAAAAGATTTGTTAAATTTAGTTTTCTCAAACTATTTCTCGCTCTAAAAATGTACCAGGCACTCATAGGGACATTCCATCTTCTTCTTTCCCTCGGTCGCTTCGGGGTGGATTCATTGACATGATAATTTCTATATTCTTATTTCTTTCGGTAAAGTCACGTTGAAGGGAAACCAATAAAATAATAAAATATATATAAACCAATAAAAATTGTCACGACGTTTCGACCATAACACAAACGGTCGTCATCAGGTGTGTCGGTTTGCATACATTTATTTATTTTTAAACGGTGTATTTATTTATTTATAATTAAAAACGTTAGCGCCACGCGCAGCGATTTGGCAGTTTATTTAGAAGGACGAGTTCATCTATGTTCTGAAAAGAGGAGGGGAGAGACGAAAAATTTAATGTATGCTGTCAGAAAGCCACTGTAAGCGTGAACAATCAATTAAGACCTGAAATGGTTTATCAAATCTTTCCAATGATTGCTAAGCCAGAATCCATCTTCTCGGTTGAAATTGTCTCTGTGCTTGTATATGTGGATAGCCTCATGAACGAATCTCTCATGGTAGCCAGATGGCTTTCCAAGACAGAGGTTCTTTGTAAGCCATCTGGCTACCATGAGAGATTCGTTCATGAGGCTATCCACATATACAAGCACAGAGACAATTTCAACCGAGAAGATGGATTCTGGCTCAGCAATCATTGGAAAGATTTGATAAACCATTTCAGGTCTTAATTGACTGTTCACGCTTACGGTGGCTTTCTGACAGCATACATTAAATTTTTCGTCTCCCCCCTCCTCTTTCAGAACATAGATGGACTCGTCCTTCCAAACAAACTGCCAAATCGCTGCGCGTGGCGCTAACGTTTTTTTATAAATAAATAAATACACCGTTTAGAAAATAAATAAATTATTGCGAACCGACACACCTGATGACGACCGTTTGTGTTATGGTCGAAACGTCGTGACAATTTTTATTGGTTTATATATATTTTATTATTTTATTGGTTTCCCTTCAATGTGACTTTACCGAAAGAACTAAGAATATGAATTACTGCAGTCACGAAAGCTTTAAATCAAAATGATAATTTATCTGTTCCAGCAGCAGCCACCAGCAGCAGACCCACCTCTCTCTCTGCCCACCCCCTTCTCTATTTAAGACCTCGACACAGAGGCACTGGGTATCTGTGTGTCTATGTTGTGTGTCTCTCTGTGTATCTCTGTCTCTGTGTTGTCTCTGTGTGTCTATGTTGTGTGTCTCTCTGTGTGTCTCTGTGTTGTTTCTGTGTGTCTATGTTGTGTGTCTCTCTCTGTGTGTCTATGTTGTGTCTCTCTCTGGGTCTCTGTGTGTCTATGTTGTGTGTATCTCTCTGTGTGTCTATGTTGTGTCTCTCTCTGGGTCTCTGTGTGTCTATGTTGTGTGTCTCTCTCTGTGTATCTCTATGTCTCTGTGTTGTCTCTGTGTGTCTATGTTGTGTGTCTCTCTCTGTGTGTCTATGTTGTGTGTCTCTCTGTGTATCTCTGTCTGTGTTGTCTCTGTGTGTCTATGTTGTCTCTCTCTGTGTGTCTATGTTGTGTGTCTATCTGTGTCTCTGTGTGTCTATGTTGTGTGTCTCTCTCTGTGTATCTGTGTCTCTGTGTTGTCTCTGTGTGTCTATGTTGTGTCTCTCTGTGTGTCTGTGTTGTTTCTGTGTGTCTATGTTGTGTGTCTCTCTCTGTGTGTCTATGTTGTGTCTCTCTCTGGGTCTCTGTGTGTCTATGTTGTGTGTATCTCTCTGTGTGTCTATGTTGTGTCTCTCTCTGGGTCTCTGTGTGTCTATGTTGTGTGTATCTCTCTACGCTGTCTCTCTGCTTGTGTGTCTGTCTGTGTGTCTATGTTGTGTGTATCTCTCTGTGTGTCTATATTGTCTCTCTCTGTGTCTCTGTGTCTCTATGTTGTGTCTCTCTCTGTGTATCTGTGTCTCTGTGTTGTTTCTGTGTGTCTATGTTGTGTGTCTCTCTCTGTGTGTCTCTGTGTCTCTGTGTTGTCTCTGTGTGTCTATGTTGTGTGTCTCTCTCTGTGTTGTCTCTCTGTGTCTGTTGTCTCTCTCTGTGTCTATGTTGTGTGTCTATCTGTGTCTCTGTGTGTCTATGTTGTGTCTCTCTCTGTGTTGTCTCTGTGTGTCTCTCTGTGTGTCTCTGTGTGTGTCTCTGTTGTCTGTGTGTCTCTCTGTGAGTCTATGTTGTGTCTCTCTCTCTGTGTGTCTCTCTGCTTGGCTCCAAGGGCCTTGCTGTGAAGAATAAAAGAGTGAACTACCACAACAGCGAAGAGTGTCAACGATTGTGCTGTTTTTTCATGGATTTTTCTGTTTGCGCATAGTCACTTCAAGATGTTTTATTGTTCACTTTACTGGTTTGTTGCGGTTGCACCCGATTCAAGAGCCGAATGGCTCACAGGGCTAGAACAAACACATGAAACTGAAAACTGATCTTAAGGCTGCGGAGTTCAAATCGTGCTTTGGGGATGACTCGGTCCATCATCGCTCCGGCGGGCGGCGGGGGGGCGATAAAGCGAGTACCGATTTGTGGGGTTATCCACAGTTGGTTGTCATAGTGTTTTATATATATATGCCCTTTCGATTTAAAGCGTTCGTGACTGCAAGGATTTATCATCTTTGGTTCTTTCGGTAAAGTCACCACGTAGAATGAGAATAAAATAATAAATTGTTAAAATAAAATAACACAATAACATTCTCACGACGTTTCGGCCACAACACAAGCGGCCTTCATCAGGTGAAGGGACCAGACTGTCTGTCTTCAAGCCCGCTTGTGTTGTGGCCAAAACGTCGTGAGAATATTATTGTGTTATTTTATTTTATCAATTTATTATTTTATTCTCATTCTACGTGACTTTACCTAAAGAACCAAAGAATATATATGCCCTTGTCACAGTAATGTGGAATTTCCAGACACTGGCTCAGGGGGCTGCAAACGGTTGCGCGCGCCACCAATGCCTCGATGTTTCCGACTTGAAACGACAACAAAACAACAACGACAACAACAACAACGAGCTCACCTGGCCCGTGTGCGTCAACAACAACGACAACAACAACAACGAGCTCACCTGGCCCGTGTGCGTCACCTTCTCCCCATCCTGAACCCCGGGTCCCGCCGCGAGGCCCCTCCGGGCCCCCGCTCCCAGCAGCAGGGGCCCGACCCTCGCGGCCCCCGGGGCCCGAGAGGCCCTCGAGGCCGCCGAGGCCGAGGCCCCCGCGGCCCGAGAGGCGGCGAGAGCGACGGAGCTCGCCCGGGAGAGCGCGCAGGAGGCCATCGCCGAGGCGTTCCTTCAACAGTCGCTTGGTAGGGGCAAGTGCTGCGAGGGGAGGCAGCACCAATGAAGGTCACACACACAGACACACACACGACACACGACGGCGGGCTTGGCTCAACTTCCTGAAGCCGAAACGTCGGCCATCTTACATGGGGGCGGGGGGGGGTGGGATTCTCCACGCGTGTCCCGAGGGCGAGGAGATTCCCGGCGATTGACGCCCCCGCAACGTGTCGCCGAGTTGGTTTCGTCCGCTTTTAGGCAAAGGAGAGATCCCTTGCGAGTGACGCGCCCCGCAAACGTTTCGCCGAGTTGGTTTCGTCCACCTAAAGGCGAGGTGGTCCCGGCGAGTGACGTCCCATAACAGTTTCGCGCAATTAGTTTCGTCCACCTAAAGGCGAGGAGGTGCCGGCTGAGTGACGCCCCCGCAACGTTTCGCGGAGTTGGTTTCGTCCGCCACCCGCCACCCTCCACCCCCCCTCGGTTCCGATTGAGTTTTGTTTAACCCTCCCCCCTACCAAGATGGCCGTCGAGTAAGCGGGGACGTCATCGGCGAGCGGACATGACGTAACCTGCGATGGGGGCGGGAACATGACGTCATCTCCGCACGCGGTTGCGACGAGCGAGACCCCGTGCAGGTTTCTGAGGTCATTGCCGGGTGGGTTTAGCGCGCCTTGTGTTACAACAACTATTATTATTATAATAATTGGCATTATTTCGAGTCGTTGATTGAAAGTTTGACCCACGTCGGGGGTTGGTATCGTTGACTTGCGTGTCGGGGCCGTTTAGATAAAGTTTTTTTCGCTGCTGTGAAATTAACGTCCCTCATGATGGGAAGGCCACTCGGCTTGTGCCTGCTATAATTCGTGGCCAGGCCGCTTCTGAACAATAACTTCGTGCCTCGGTGGGGCTTTGCCTGGGTGGGACGTGTGGACGACTTGTTTCTCTTGTGTGTTTGTGTCATTCGTTTATCGTGTGTTGTAGTCTTTTCTAGATTTAAAGCTTTCGTGACCGCTAGGATCCATACTCTTTGATTCTATTGGGTAAAGTCACGTAGGTGAAAATAAAATAACAAAAAATCACGACGTTTCGGCCACAACACAAGCACACAGTTTAAAGGTCCGCTGTCTGAGCGTGGTTGTGTTTCGCTAAATTCTCCTGTTTGATGAGTACTAGGTGCCTCGGTGAATGTGTATGCTCTGACTTTAACGTAGCTATTTCTGTGACCAGTTAGAAGCTAATCACTCAGCTATTTCAATGCTAAATTCGATGCTAATTCCTTAGTCAAGGGGTACCTCTGCGGATGTGTATACTTTAACTTAGCTATTTCAATGAGCCATTTCAATGCTAAATTATATGCTAATTCCTTTGTCAAGGCGCTTTGTTTCTTCTCACACAACTTAAAGGTCGTAATCTAAGCGTGGCTTCTTCCACTCCAGCGCTAATTCCTTTGTCAAGGGGTACCTCTGCGGATGTGTATACTTTAACTTAGCTATTTCAATGAGCCATTTCAATGCTAAATTCTATGCTAATTCCTTTGTCAAGGAACTTGGCCTTTTTCTTCTCACACAGCTTAAAGGTCGCGATCTAAGCGTGGCTTCTTCCACTCCAGCGCTGTCCTCCAGACAGTCTCGTCCCTTCACCTGATGAAGGCCGCTTGTGTTGTGGCCGAAAAGTCGTGATTTTTTTGTTATTTTATTTTCATCTACGTGACTTTACCCAATAGAACCAAAGCGTATGTTGTAGTCTTTGCCGTTGTTGACGTTCTTACCAAAGGCCGTAGCCATGGAGTCAACATTGGGGGGGGGGACGAAATCTTACAGGGGGAACCCCCCCCCCAAAAAAAATCTAAACTTTTAAACTAATTTCCTCCCTAAAATATTTTTAAAAATTCACTAACGCAAAGGATGGACTTTTTTTTACAATAATGTCTAATAGTGTTATTGTATTACATTGCTCTGTGTGTTTTTTTTTATTTGTTTCGTTGTATGTAATGGCAGAGATTAGGTATTAATAAAGTACAACCATAACCACAATCGTTATGGTTGCACAGAAATCTATTTTATAGCAATATATTGAGAGGGGGGGTACATTTTGAGCATATTTGAATATTTAGGGGAGATATGACCCACCCCCCACAAATATATATTATACTGGTAGTAACGAAGTTGTGAACTGAGTGTACCAGCCTGCAATAGATTAATGTGTCCGTCCGTCCCCTTTCAATACTTTAACGAAGTGAAATCTCGTGCTGTTGGGTGTAATATCAGCAATAGACAGCGCAGAGACTTGATATGTCTTATTGCACCCAACATTTGGAAGTCACATTATCTCATTTGCGAACTTCGCTTTTGGGGATGTGGCAAATTCACACACAGCCCACAGCCGAATAGCATTTGCGAGGCGAAGTTCGAAGGCACCGTGACGTTACTTTGCCAATGTTCCTACCAGCCCACCCTGCAGGGACCTGTTTATTTCGGCTGTTTCACTCCAACGCTGTCCTCGAGACAGCTTGATCCCTTCACCCCATGAAGGCCGCTTGTGTTGTGGCCGAAACGTCGTGATTTTAGTTGTTTTATTTTTTACCTACGTGACTTTACCGAATAGAACCAAAGAGTACCTTTCCTATACTTTGCGCTCTGAGCACTCCTATTGTACTATGCATTTGTGAAGAGGAGCTTTATAGCTCATCGGATTCCTCCAATATATTCTGAATCTGATACTTGGATGGTAGACTTCCCTGGTGTGCCAGGTGCTGTAAGCTTGGGCTGCAGTGGGTTGTGACCACAGATTGCCGTTGGTGTATGTCGGGGGGGGGGGGGGGGGGGGGGGGTATCAGCTTCCAGCTGAGAATCAGGTTGAAAAGCCTGCTTTCCTTCTAAGGTCTGACATTGTGGTTTGTAGTAATAGGTTTTACCCTTTTAACTGGCACAAAAACGACACCTTTATTCAAGGCATCATGTTTGCAATAACCACAACACAAGCAGTCAAAATGCAAACAAAAGAGACAAATCTGATAATAATATGCACTGTCCTTGAATTTGATTGGTCCACACCCGAGACAGCTTTTCTTAGAGCCTAGTCTCCACTGGCGTTGGACCAGAAGACACCAAAAGTCGTACAACTCAAAAACAGCGCACTATCAGAGTATTGAGGGCTCGGGGTGAGCATTTACACCGAGACCTCCTTTGCCAGTAACAAGATATAGTAATAGGTTTTACCCTTTTTGTGCCAATTAAAAGGGTAAAACCTATTACTATATCTTGTTACTGGCAAAGGAGATCTCATAATGTAAATTGTGGTTTGTGTTCGTGGACGCCAGACGGCGTAGGTGTGGATTCTCCGTGCCTAATGACTGCAAAATGTCGGCACCTCCGATTAGCACGGTTGGCCACATACGGTGTGAAAAAAGCTAAACATAAATGCGAGTACAGTACGAGCCAATCTCAGCTTTGCCAAGATTCCGCGGCCAACCAACAATAACGATGTTGTGTCTGCTCCAGACGACAAAAGCCTAGCGGCGAACTTCCACTCCGAGTACTTTTATACGTACAGGCAGTACTCTACTTACGATGGAGACGCGTTACGACGACCCCATCGTGAGTCGAAAATATCGTAAGTCGAAGATGGCCTAGCCTACCCAGAAGTCTTAAAAGAATGGTGATAATTTAGCAAAACACAGCAATTTACAGTACCGTACTGTATAAACCATATACTCTATGTATTTATTAATTACAATACAGTAAAATGTAAAGTAAAAAAAACAAGGTGCAGTACACGCGCTAACACCGAGACAACTTAACTCCGTCGACCGCTGGTGAGAGTGAGGCCTCACCACACAAGGCGGGAGATGCGCACATCCCAGCAGCGTCCCCAACGCACAGTATCGTACCTCGTACGCTGATGCGTTTGCCTGCCGCGCGAAATTAAAAATATTTCACCATTTTGTCGTATCGCTATCGCCATCGTGAGATCGAAATATCGTAAGTCGGGGACCATCTGTATGTTGAACTTCTGTTGCACCGTACGTCGCCAACCCTTGCTTAATCGCAGGTGCGGGGGAAGGATGAGCCCGTGTAGCTTTTAGAGATTTCATGAAAACGTTTTTTTTGTTTCCGCAGACCACAGCCACATGGCATACGTGGGGATCATCCGTTCCCTCCGGAGCCTCGTGCCCTCACTCGGCATGACCGCCGCGCTCCGCTCGCCAGCGCCGTGGGTTCCTTGGGCTCGATTTCCCCCGCCGCTGCTGACGCCCCTGGCATCCTCCCCGCCCGCGTTCATGCAGCCGGTCGCCGGCTTCAAGATGCGCTGCGTGCTCCGCCTGCGCTGCAAAGACTGCTACTTTGTGCGGCGGCGCGGGCACATGTGCGTCATCTGCAAGACGCACCCGCGTCACAAGCAGCGCAAGTGGTGACGGAGCCGCTGCCGGAGTCTTTAACACCGCCCACGCGCCGCGCCCGTGATTCGCGATCGCTGTGCGCGAGCGTGCTTGTAAATAATCGCGAGGCCGTGCAACGATGCTTTAACGCTTCTATTAAAATGTTTTACATTCGCGTGTACGATTATCGGCTTTTCTCCTCACTTCACCGAGTCGAGTTACCTTTCAGTTATGTCTCCAGTCCAATAAGGGTTCGTTTACCAGATAGTGTCCACGTGTTGTATGTGAGCAAACGTGGAGGCCATGGTCTGGGCTTAACATCAATGGAAGGTGGTAAGTTACCATACTGGTGCAGTGGTTATCCCAGTGTGCTGTGAGCATCGGGGCGCATGTTACCTGCTGCTGCTGCATAGCGCACAGGGGGGGCCAATGGGCCACGTCTGGCCTGTCGAGACTTGGCCTTTCGAGAGATGTGGCTCACAAATACAGACGAGTGGGACGAAAGCGAAATAAGGACTAGACACCTGGAAATAAGGTACACGGTGGTCACGTGACCTGCCGTGTGATGGTGTCCGCATGCACCACGATCACATTAAGTAACCTGCTGTAGTACATGTCACAAAATGGAGCCACCATAAAATAGTTGCATCTTGATATGTGTTATTTGCTATGATGTGGACAGCAAGGAAAATGTAACAAACTGAAAATTGTGCAAAGCAAGGCAACATGCTGGGAATTACACCAAGATACAGAGGAACACATGGGTAAGACAGTTGCAAATTAAAGACTATATAAAATATGGCTTGGGTAGAAGACGTCATCATAAGGGATGTTGGTTAGTGGACAACTGGTGCCAATGGCAGCAAGAGGAGTTAACGCACTCAAAGAGGAAGACCATAGAATTGGAGTGAGTTTAGCTTGTGTGCAGGAGCACGATGAATTATGGAATCTTAACACCACAAGGGATGTTGATGTGGGGAGGCCTTCATCTAGCGGTGGATTGACGTTAATGATACCAATAAAGGACATCTAAAGTATAAGTTGTGCCACCAACATCGCAAAGCTTGTCCATTACAAAAGCCATCATCGTGAACACTGAAGGTAAACTTAAGCAATCGGACACTTAAACTTTGGTGCACAAGTCGTTTTAATTGCATTTTATAAAAGCATTTCAACAAATGTCCATTATTGCACTGGACAACCCCTAAATGAAAAAAATAGGATTAAATTAATAAGATTGTTACAGATTTTAAATGACGACACGAGAGAAAAAAAAACGGACGACTTCATCATGGTCATCCAGCCACGTGGTAACTGGACACCCGCAGCTACCTCCCGAATGCGGCAGTGTCCGTTCACGGTTCCCGTAATTTGTGGCCGGAATTACGAGTCCGCTAGGCGAGATTGGCACGCTCGGTGAACTGACGATCGACGGCCTGCGACAACGCGTCCAGGAAGCATGACAGTGTCGTCGTGGATTCCTGCAGGGATAATCGAGTTGTTTTAAAGACATGCCGGTGTTTAGCGTTTTAACCGCTTTAAACTGCAGTGCGTCCCTCAAAATACCAAGCTGGTTTCACGCGTGGGGTGCCCCCTTTTTCACGTGGATTTTTCTCCGGGTCCACCGGTTTTAATGCCCTCCACATTTAGAAACATGCGTTTTAGAGCATTCGGCTGCCGTCAAATTTCCACGTGATGAGCCACTTCGTTGGGCTACCATTTGTGGCCAGGTCGCTTCTGGGCTCGGTAGGCTTTAACTGGTAAAATTTTAAAAAAATTGTTTTTTCTAAACAAAACCCCGTTATTTCCAAGACCAAATTGACACTATTTACAAACCAAAGTCACTGAATTATTGCTTATGTGAGCATTGAGGCGGTGCTCATCACCTGAGGCAGTGGCTGGAATTTCTCTGGCATGGGGAAGGGGCAGGATCCACGTCTATCCATCACAGGAACACATTCCTAGAAAGTGGCATTCACCCCAATTACACTGCTTGTCGCGATTTTAGATTATTTTTGCATCGTATAAAATGCAATAAAGGTAAAAAAAAAACACAAATGACTGAAAATCACAAGCAAAAACTGCAATCCTGTCCAGTACCAAACTGAGGCTGCGCTGGCATGTGACGTCTACAGCATTTGCTTTGCACCCCGTTCAGTTTTGAGCTTCGCAAATACGACGTTCATCTCCCGGATATTTCCCACAAAACCTATTGCGCACGAGACAGTACACATCTGCTCACGTTATGCTGAGGACACGCGCGTATGGAGCGTGCCCCGTTTTGCGCGAACCACAGCCAAGGGGCGTGTGATCTCTGTGTGAAATTAGCGCAGAAGAAAATGTGTGCGATCAAGCTCCGAACCTTAACATAGAGTGCGTGAGCGATGAAGGGGAGTTTCCGCAGGACCCTTCCACTCAGGCCCTGGCTCTTTCTTCATTTTGTCATTTGGCGAAGGCAAATAAAAACCACAATGCAAACAGTTTATCACAGCGACATGGACTTCTGGTTACACGTCTCTTTCCGTATTGAGACACCCTCCCTCCCCCTATCACGATCATCAGAACTGATTAATCGATGCAACGTTACATGCCTAATTAACGGACTTCAGTTCATCTAAAAGAACCTCGCGCGGGCTGCGTGGCGGTAGCGTGTTTAACGCGTACTGCAGAAGATCGTGTTTGGAGCCCAGCGGCCGTTCTGCTCATTACTGCCCGTCTTATTAGCAAAAGATACGCGGCTGTTTCTTTCACAATCGATGTTAGACATCGCGTGATGTTATGTAAAAAAAGAATAGGCCATGTGTACGGGCGTCATGGTCCAAATGTGCGAAATTTGACCAAACGCCGAATTAGGAAAAAACGCAAAATCACATTTCTTCCTACCGAAAGACAAATGTGTATTTACAGGCCAGTCCTGCGTACATGTTGTGCTACACAGGGCCAGCTGTCACTGGGGGGTGGGGTCTTGGTTACACTGCAGGCGGGTCGTGGAATGGATGAGATGTGATGCTGGGTGCTTTGAGGTATTTGTGTGTCCTATGCATGCTTAGCCACCCACAAATTGAGGACTTGGGAGGAGGTGCGAGCTGAACTCACTCAGCGATGGTGTGGAGACGCAGGCTGGACTTCGACATGCCCGTTTCCACAAAATGCATCATCTCCAGCTGCCGGAAGCTCAGCAGTTGATCTGCACAGATGATGCCCTTCTGCACTCGCACACATGCACGGCGACCAAGCCTCGAGTCGCGATCCGGTCAAACTTATCCATCGACGGTCAACTCTCGATTATTCGAGGCAACGGCAGACATTCGCTCATTTTGTGTCCCATCGGCACCCCAATTGTGTCGCCGACAACCACGTGGGGCGCGGCGGCACAGGTCCACGCAAGGTGGGTAAATGGGGCTTAAATCATTGGCCGTGGCCCCTCTAGCAGACGACACTGCAGCAGATGGGCGAAGCATCGTCTGCATCGTCTGCTCTTTAGCGCGGATGTAGGTCGTGTTCTGGGCTTGGTGGAAATGTCCTCGACGGTACTGAGGTGTGCTTTGTAGCAGCCGACACCCGTACGGAAGAAGGTTCAGGCATCGCCAGATTTCCCGTGGTCCTTCTGACCCCGATGGAAGGGTCTCCGCTAATCGCAGTTTTATCTGAGTGTGGAAGGTAAAGGCATTGAACTTATATTACTCTACTGTACTGTAGAGTCCTAATGAGGACAAAACCAATTTTCAGTTCTGTTTCACTGCTGCTTGAGACGGCCACACTTTCAACTCTTGCTGTGTTAGCGGTCTAAATAATAACCACATTCTCAGCCATCTTTTCAGTTGGTGGTCTAGACAAGGCTAAGAGCATTGTACATGCAATGTGATGGTCACATGGCATGCATGGCATGATGGGAGTCGTGCTTTCTTGCTTATTTTCTAGGCTGACCCTTAGTCACCAAAAGAAGAGAAGCAATACGTAAATGTTAAGCATAACCACCAAGCTAAGAGAAATCGGAACACAAGCCCCCGTGTGAGCATGAATCGACGTTAAAAGAAAACGCATCCCTTGTAACGAAAGTTTTTTTTTCCAGACAACTTTCAAAAAAGCTCTCGATCGGACAATTAAAAGTTGCAGAAACGTTAAGCAGATTTCGGGTGAACGAGTGCACTCGGGGCACGGTGCGTTGGCTGCCCTTACGTTAATGAGCTCGACGAGGCACGACAGGTAGATCTGGTAGATGGCCATGACTGAGGGGGGCCCGATGTACTGCTTGATGTCAGCACGGTCGACGAAGGCTGCGTCGATTTTCCCTGTGATGTTTGACGTCGTCAAGATGATCACATTGGAGTACCTAGACGCACACAACAGGCAAAAGATCCCTCGTGTAGCCTACACAGAATTTTGGGGCAAGTACGGTGAGCGCGCACCTAATAAGGCCGGCACGGCACACTTACAGTGAGGGAAAAAAGTGATGCCCTGCTGATTTTTGTACGTTTGCCCACTGACAAAGGATCAGTCTATAATTGTAATGGTAGGTTTATTTGAACAGTGAGAGACAGAATAACAACAACAAAATCCAGAAAAACGCATGTCAAAAATTTTATAAATTGATTTGCATTTTAATGAGGGAAATCAGTATTTGACCCCTCTGCAAAACATGACTTAGTACTTGGTGGCAAAACCCCTTGTTGGCAATCACAGAGGTCAGACGTTTCTTGTAGTTGGCCACCAGGTTTGCACACATCTCAGGAGGGATTTCGACCCACTCCTCTTTGCAGATCTTCTCCACGTCATTAAGGTTTCGAGGCTAACATTTGGCAATTCGAACCTTCAGCTCCCTCCACAGCTTTTCTATGGGATTAAGGTCTGGAGACTGGCTAGGCCACTCCAGGACCTTAATGTGCTTCTTCTTGAGCCACTCCTTTGTTGCCTTGGCCGTGTGTTTTGGGTCATTGTCATGCTGGAATACCCATCCACGACCCATTTTCAATGCCCTGACTGAGGGAAGGGGGTTCTCACCCAAGATTTGACAGTACATGGCCCCGTCCATCGTCCCTTTGATGCGGTGAAGTTGTCCTGTCCCCTTAGCAGAAAAACACCCCCAAAGCATAATGTTTCCACCTCCATGTTTGACGGTGGGGATGGTGTTCTTGGGGTCATAGGTAGCATTCCTCCTCCTCCAAACACGGCGAGTTGAGTTAATGCCAAAGAGCTCCATTTTGGTCTCATCTGACCACAACACTTTCACCCAGTTGTCCTCTGAATCATTCAGATTTTCAGTGGCAAACTTCAGACGGGCATGTATATGTGCTTTCTTGAGCAGGGGGACCTTGCGGGCGCTGCAGGATTTCAGTCCTTCATGGCGTAGTGTGTTACCAATTGTTTTCTTGGTGACTATGGTCCCAGCTGCCTTGAGATCATTGACAATATCCTCCCGTGTAGTTCTGGGCTGATTCTTCACCGTTCTCATGATCATTGCAACTCCACGAAGTGAGATCTTGCATGGAGCCCCAGGCCGAGGGAGATTGACAGTTCTTTTGTGTTTCTTCCATTTGCGAATAATCGCACCAACTGTTGTCACCTTCTCACCAAGCTGCTTGGCAATGGTCTTGTAGCCCATTCCAGCCTTGTGTAGGTCTACAATCTTGTCCCTGATATCCTTGGAGAGCTCTTTGGTCTTGGCCATGGTGGAGTTTAGAATCTGATTTGATTGATTGCTTCTGTGGACAGGTGCCTTTTATACAGGTAACAAGCTGAGATTAGGAGCACTAAATCCTTTTAAGAGTGTGCTCCTAATCTCAGCTCGTTACCTGTATAAAAGGCACCTGGGAGCCGGAAATCTTTCTGATTGAGAGGGGGTCAAATACTTATTTCCCTCATTAAAATGCAAATCAATTTATAACATTTTTGACATGCGTTTTTCTGGATTTTGTTGTTGTTATTCTGTCTCTCACTGTTCAAATAAACCTACCATTAAAATTATAGACAGATCATTTCTTTGTCAGTGGGCAAACGTAAAAAATCAGCAGGGGATCAAATACTTTTTTCCCTCACTGTAGGCATACACACAAACTTAGACAATAAGGTACAACCAAGACAAAAATCCCCCGTATAGCGTACACAGGCTGTTGGGTCGAGTGCACACACTTAAGACACACACCGAGACAGGCATACCCAAAGACACACTTACGCTGCTGCTGTTCATCGTGAAAATTATGCTGCTGCTGGTGCTGCTATTGTTGCCGATAATATTGGTGATGTTGATGTTGCTAATTGCACTGATGATAATGATGCTGCTGATGATAACGATTGACGATTCTCAAGAAGCCATTTTTACTGTTGACTGTTCCCAGTGTGAGTTCCGCTTGACCCGGTCTCACCGTTTGATCTGGTCGATCTGGGTGAGGAGCGCGTTCACCACGCGGATCGCGTCCGACGGCTCCGTTCCCGAGTGCGACGCGGAGCGCGACGCAGTCAGGCTCTCCACCTTCAGCGCAAACGCAGCGAGGAAAGTTCGTTTAGGAGACCGAGAGTGACTGTGGCACAGGGGCTCACCGTCTCTCGTGTTCACGTGCATTGCAGCTATTGAAATATTGAGCTTATTACAAAAGTCGAAAGAAATAGCTCTTCTTGTTATTTTGGTTGCCAACCCCTGCTCGAGTGGCTGTGGGGTTGACACGAACCCATTAGGCATAACACATTTAAAAAAAAATTTATATAAATTCTGACACAAGCTATCCGTGATGTTAAGAGGGGGCAGTAATCGAGACGGCCGGAGTCTGCTTCATGTCGTGAATCTGTAATCTACGTCTACAGCTCTCTCATCTCTATCTCCCATGTCTATCCTTCTCGTTACACTGCATCTCTTTAAGCTACGAAGCCCCCGCCCTCTGGAACTCCTTTCCCTGGGCAACTCTGCCTGGTCTCCTCTCTCTCTGCTTTCAAGTCTCCTGTAAAAACCTCCCCCATTTCAAACCTTGTGCCTCGGAACTCCCTCATGGCTTCTTTTATTTCCTTCCCTTGCCCGGTGCCTCCCGTTCCCCCTTTTTTATTTGTGCCTTGTAGACGTTTCATTATACATGTCAGAATCAGAATATTATACTGAAGGAATCGGATTAGCTATGAAGCTCTTTTTTCACAGATGTCCAGTAGGGGCAAGTCAGAACGTTCAAACAACAAACAATACAAAAACACGATAGGAGTGCCAAGTACAGAAAAGGTAAAAAAAAATCACTTAATGATACACAAATAAAACGAAACTATTTTGTATCTTACCAGCTAAAGCCCGCCGAAGCATTAACTTATATTTCAGAAGCGACCTGGCCACAAATGACGGCTCATCATGTGCACATTTATAGCAGCAAAATAATCTAACTGCATGCAAATTGTTTATTTCTATAAACCATAACTTTTGGTGTGCCATAGCCCAGTGGGCCACTCAAAGAGCCTTTGGGGCCCACAACTGGTGGCCGGCAGGCCACTAGTTGAAGAACACTATTGCAGTTGATGTGCAATTGAAATTGGGAGCCAACAGAGGGATCTGGGGATCGGGGTGACGTGATCTTGTCCATAAAGCAAGTTGCTACTGCAGCATAAATGTATCCCCTTTGCTGCCAACAAACCTCATCAATGAGCACGCAGATGAGGGCCTCCTGGTCGTCGATACTCTCCTGGATCTTCTGAAACATCTTCATCACCAACTTGCCACTCTGCGAAACGTGAACGCAGCAGGAACACACAATTACACGCCCGCTAACGGTTAAAGACGCACAGGCGTTTACATTTTCAACCGAAGTTGTCTGTAACAGTGGGGGGCGCCAACTCTTGTAAAGGTGATCCAATGTGAACAAAGCATGAGTATAAATTGCGTCGCTACAAGGGACTTACCCAAGATAAAACCGGCCAAATGGATTGTACGGTTCAAAACTTTGGAGACAAAGCGTTAAAAGGATTCGCTATCCCAACACTAAAAGGAAGCGAGGGTCTGCCCTCTTATCCCAACGACATTATTACATGTGATGCCACCTCGCAGCATTTTACTATAAATAGAATACAGGGATGAGGAGAGACGTCCCAAAAAAAACAATTCATCGTGCAACAGGCGATGAGATGCTCACCTCTGAGAACCATTTAGAGAAGAGGCTGTGGCTGTTAATCTCAATCAGCTGCCCGTATCGATACCTGGAGGTCAAAGCAGAGAATTAAAACTGATTCATACACTCGCAATACACGCAACAAAGCCTGCTAATGTTCAGAACAAATTATACAATAAAATAAGACGCAATGATACGTAGTGAGCGAGACAGAATGTGTAGTAACAACGAGACAAAATCAAAACACGACAGACGAGCTTGGTAGAATGAGATGTAACGAAGGAGACGGTAACAAATAAAAATCGCAGACGAGAGCAGTACAAATGAAACAAACAACAAAAACCAATGCGATAATTGGATAAAGTTGCGTTAAAAATCATTTACAGCTCTTTTCAATCCACTGCTAAACGAAGGACACTTGCCCGCCATGTTGCTCGTAGTGACGTCACCACGCTCGTCAATGCGGGGGTCGGTGAAACATTAAATAGTGACCCTTAATTGTGGGATCCATCCAAGTGTTGGGGGTGGAAGTGAATCACTGTTCATCTATGAACATAGGTATTGGTTGAACTTCTTACGCACCGTGCATAGCCACCCGTGCTAATCGGAGGTGCGGGGGAAGGATGACATAACACAGATGCTCAGGTGAGATTAAGGCCGCGGACTTATGGGAGAATCTTACTTTTTCGACAGCCTTATACAGAGCTTCTGTGCCAGGGCTTTACACAGCGACGTCTTTCCCGTGCCCGGAGGTCCTGTAACAGCACAAGACGGGGCAAATCATTTTACTTCAAGTCCTCTATTTACGTCGCTATTTACTATTTTTCACGATCACATCGCCGACGAATTAGGGCACGCAATTTTATTTAAAATGCCCCGATTTACCACAAAGCTGTCTTGATAATTTTAAAGGAACGAGCGCAATAGTTTGGGCTGTATACGTTAACGACACGCGACGCAATGGAGCCCCCGGGCGGGGTGCTCACGCCTCAAGTCTCTACAGCCGCTTGGCACTGTAACAAAACTCCCCTTCACCACTCCACGCCATGCCTCTACATGCAGTCTCAGCCACCATCTCTATGGCGAGTACTCTGTATTAACTTATATTATTAATGAAAACATTTCGGGCATCTTTGGTTACGTTTTTTGGCAAAATTTTTCTGGAATTCTGACCAAAAGAGAAAACTGCCAGGAACGCGTCCTTAACTTACACAAGTCAGCGGTAAAATAGGTTTCGATTTAGGTTGATTCGCCTACAGTCGGATTTATCAGGGACGCATCCTTAAGGTAATAAGCGGACTTAGCGTAGATGAAACGGACAGACAAGAAAACAAGATGTGTAACCTATCAGATCTCAGCATTAACATTCTTAGCTTTTATCAGTTTCAAATGTAAACATTTAAAGTTACGGCCGAGAACGCTCGAGAAATAATGTTGGGGCATCATCACCGTTTTCCTGCATCGGGGGGCACACAATTCCATGCCCGATCCCGATTTTAAAAAGACAAGGATTGAATTCTGTAATGCTTTCCATAACCTGTTTGTCCAAGTATTTAATCGGTTATAACGTTACATTACAAACAGACGTCATAGGTAACCGTGCCAACGTGCGATGTCACACGCGCATCGATGCCATTGCTTTGGCCAGCAAGGTCAATGCTTTTAGCGCCAGTTTTTTGTCGCCAAATTGTTGGGCAACCCTTTCATAAATGTGACGGGTCTTCTGCAGAACAAGTCCCCAATAGCAACACGACTTTACACTCAAATGTTGTTTATATTGGATTATTGGATCGTTAGGAAAACCATGCTGAGCCTCCCCCCCCCCATGACAGACGGACAGAGCTAATGAATTAACGCTTTCATCATCGGTTTGGAAAAAAAAAAACTAACGCCAAAAGCGAACCGTGCAGGAGGACCACGCGATTCCAGGAGATGACGTTGCTGTTCACGTTCTTGTCCGAGAACAGCAGTGTCGTCATCACGTAATTGAGCAGCTGTGACGAAAGGGCAAGTTGCGGTTGAACAATCACTTTTTTCGTAACTGTTTAAAAAAAAAAAGACTGCAATTTTGTGTGTATGACTGTCGAGAGTGCAGCGTTCGCTCACCTGCAGTTTAATCTCGGAATCGTAGACCAGACTTTCCCAAAGTCCATGGAATTCGGCTACACAACAACAAAAACACGTGACTTGAACCCACCTGCCTGGTATATGTACAAGCACATTCTTCATTTGGAGCTTCCGTGACTGCAGGAATTACTTTTTGGTTCTTTCTACGTGACTTTACCGAAAGAACCAAAAAGTAAGCACATCCTTCTTGGCAAAATCCACTGCTGGTCAATGTTGGATTATCGTCTGTTTACATGTTAATGCAATAATCACATGGCTAGTGTTGCGGTGTGGGTGTTAACCTTACAGTGTAAAGGTTAGTGTCTGGGCTTGTGTCACTGTGTTAGGGTCAGGGCTGTGTACTTGAAGGCAGGATCCAGTGCTGGGCTGCAGGGAGATTATCGTCACCCTGGTTCAGCTCCTCCATGGATGGGCCATCGTCATTCAGCTGCATCACGTGCACCTCCACAGGTGTCTTCACTAGCTCCACCATCTGCATAGCGCACGCACGGGAGGTGGGAGGCGGGTAAACACACAGTGGACTCTATATGATGTTGGGGGAGGCGGAGATAGGATGACCTAGAAAAAACAAAAACATTGATGAAGCAGAACATCTTCAGGGGCCAATACAACTCCTCAAGATGCCCACAGTAGTGTGTGACGGAAGCTTGAGAGGAGAAATGTCCAACCCAGGTAAGCGCATTTGGATTACAAAGTGGCTGCAAAAACGTGGATTATGTGAATTAGGTTTTTAAAATCGTATTATGTACGTAGGATGGTGGAGAAGACGTAGAAAGTGTTGTCTGTTATTTTTGTTTATTATAATCATCGGTCAACGAGTCACGAGTTAGAAGCAGCAAGTGATAGAAGCAGCACGTGCATAAAATACACAAATTAACGTCGTACACACTTTTGTATTTATCTTCCTTCTGTAACAAGCTCGGTTTTTCCATAACCCAGATAATCTGCACACAGATAACCAAAGTTAAGTGTATCCAGTAATTCGGTTAACAAACAATTATCAGCTGCATTCTGGGCCCGTAAACAGTTGCGCGCACCAATGCCTCAATGTCCACTTGAGCAGAAAATCGCTCCGACTTGAAACAAACAAAAAAATACTCGGGAGTGATTTGCAAACAGTGGCCCTTACCTGGCCCGCGTGCGTCACCTTGCCCCCATCCCTAACCATGACTGGATCGTATGTGACAAACGATAAGAAGGAAAAGAGTGTGACCTTTTGGTGATTGAACTCCAGGTCCAAGTCCGTGATGGACACCAACCGGACGTGGGTTTGGAGGAAGCTGTCTTCAAACGAGTCCCAAGACATGTCAGACATCACCACCGGGTGCCTCTTCAGCAGCTCCATCACGTGTGACACCACGACCTCCATCTTTGCCGTGCTGTCGATATAATCGAGGCGTAAACATCAGCGGAGAGTGCTTCATCTACGTGTGTGATGCATGTGGTGTAGGACACGCGCTACGAACCCGACCAACCAAGTTCGATTACCGCTCACGGCCAACACCAGTGATGGACATCTGAACCGGTCACGGGCCTCCCCTAGGTCAACTCAACCTCAAATGAGTACCTGGTGCTGTGTGTAAACATCAACACTGGGGAAACAAAGGCGGCCGGTGAGTGGTGTTGGAAACCCACCCCCCTCGTTGCTGCGCCGGCCGTCATAGGTGCTGGCTAAAATGACTTGCCCAACAGTATGTTATGGCTATAGGGGGGGGGGGGGGGGTCTTTGTTTTTGTACCTGTCGGATTTCTGGATGACCTCCACGTGCACAATGGGATGGTATATTGGAAGAGCCTCTCCCAAGTCCTTGGTTACCGCCTCCATTGCTGTGATTTGAGGGTCGACAGCTCCAGACAAATGTAGGATGGCTCAACTCCCTTTTGCTGCAATTACAACCGTGATCAAAATACAATCATCAACGACGGTCTTTTATCCACTGCTTGATGAAGTTAAGTGTATTTGTTTTACCAGTTAAGAACCCAAGAGACCAGGGATAGTCTCAATTTGCACGAGTGACCTGGGTCATTACAAAAGCAGAATAAATAAAAGGGGCAGAATTAAATTAAAAAAAACAAGGATTTGCCACGATCTGCTGTAAATACTGTACAGCTGTCAAGGCATTATATGGTTCTTTCGGTAAAGTCACATAGATAGAAAAAATAATAACAGTAAAAATGAAAATGTTGCGATCGAAACGTCGTGACATTTGTATTATTTTTCATTCACTTAATTTTCATTTTTATCATTCTTTTTTACATCTACGTGACTGCCGAAAGAACCACAGAATATGAATTCCTGCAGTCACGAAAGTTTTAAGTCAGCTGTTAAGATATTCAAATACCACGTAGACACTAATTACAAGCTATCATATTTGCGCTACCACACATACTTGTGGTAAAAAAAACGCAAATATGCTTTGATAACGTCTGCGTTTGATTACGTGTTTAGCTATATAGTATTAGCAAAAGGGTCCCATTACTAAAAGTACAGCAATGACTCAAAACATGAAACAGGTCTCCCAATGTCGTCCTTCCTTCATGATCAGTCAGTAAACATCTCACTCCGGCATACGTCCGCATCTCATTACTCCACACTATACAACTGCTGTGTATGGCGGAGACGTCACACCAGGGCTCTTGTGCCAAGCTAGGTCCCCTTTGATATATACAGATCTCCCGTATAGCCTGAACAGACTGTAGGGGCGAGTGCTGTTAGCGAGCAGCACCTATGAAGGCCGGCACGGCACACGAGGGGGTGGGTGGCCAGCACCACGCCCTGCCGCCTTTGTCTCCCCCAGTGGCGATGTTTTACTGCGCTCCGCACCAGGTACTCAATTGAGGCTGAGTCGATCTGGGGGATGCCCAGGACCGGTTCAGATAATCGTCACTGTTGGTGTTGGCCGTGAGCGTGAATCAGAACTCGGGTCGCCGGGTTCGTAGCGCAGCGTAGCGCTAACCGCTACACCACCGCTCCCCACACACGCCTATGTACTGCGCAGACATCATACGATGCATCATCATCACGGGTCTGGGTTTTATCTACTGCTGGATGAAGACCTCCACACGCTGTTGCCATTCCTCAGCCCTGCCATGCCGTAGTCCACTCGTTCGTGCACATCAACTCATCTCTCGTTGCTCAAAATCCGCGGCGGTCAAATCGCTCAGGCGAATTTTCTACATTTGCTGCCGATTTTAATCAATAAAAGTGACACATTACAACACAATGTTGAGCTGTGGTGATGTCGAGGCTCCTTACCGATCCCGCTACGTTCACCAACCCGCAGTTACCTGCGTGGTGAAGTATGGCAGAATAGCCCCCGGAGACCGACACGGCACGGGGAGGCCTTCGTCCAGCGGTGGATTGTAGATGAAGGGGTAACCAAAGAAGATATAAATTACTTGTTTTGTGTAAAGAACATCGCTTTGTGAAAAAAACATCGAATGGGGGCAAACACAAGTCGCACTGAAGAGCGTCACTTAAACCGCTCATCACTTCAATCAGCCGCTTGGCTATAACCCTATACGGTACTTAAAAAACTATACAGTACTTAAACACTGAAGCAACACACATCGCGTTTACGGTATAAACACCAGCTGCTGTGTATGTTCGTACATTTATTAAACGTTATCGCCGCAACCCTATCCCGTTTAAAAGCCCTCGCTATCGCCTAACATACTAACACCTAACGTTTATCAACGCGGACGCATTAATTCGTTTTAACACAAGCTGCTGCGGCATCGACTGGTCTGCATACGTACAATAAACAACGACAACATGTAAGCAATTAACACGTTTAAAGAGTAAGAGTTTACGCTGCAATAAGCGGTGCCTTCGCTAGGCCCAAATCAAGGCCTAGGGCGGCGTTTTTATTTTACCAGCGATGAGAAACGTATTCAAAGTTTACACATCGCACTTAATCAACAACAGCGAATACGATACTTCTAGCAATGTTGTTATAATTGAGCGCTTTATTCTCACCGAGCTCCCGGTATTTGTGTGCGTTTTGTGTCCGTTGAAACTTTTCAACTTTAACTTTTATTTTTCAACTTTGCCGCCAAATTCGACCGTTACCATGGCAACCACGGCGCGCGAGTCACCGACGGGAAACTCTACAATCGGTCACCGTTGCAGTCGCTATAATCAAATGTGTAATACTTTCATTAATATTAACGATTTAACTTGGTTGACGGGAAACTTCATTTTACTTCACGCGTTAAAATATTTCACCTGCCAAAAAAAAATCCCCTTCAGAAGTACAATAGTCAGCAGCAGCCGCTATTTTACTACAAGTCAAGAATGTGCGTCCCGCGCGTGACGTCACTCCACACGAGGCCTCCCGCGTGACGTCACTCCACATGAGGCCTCCCGCGTGACGTCACACCACATGAGGCCTCCCGCGTGACGTTCCTCCACATGAGGCCTCTCGCGTGACGTCACTCCACATGAGGCCCCCCTCACGTGACGTCACTCCACACGAGGCATCCCGCGTGACGTCACTCCGCATGAGGCCCACCGCCCCCACGTGACGTCACTCCACACGAGGCCTCCCGCGTGACGTCACACCACATGAGGCCCACCCCTCCGGCCCATCATTAATATTCACGAGTGGGTGGATTTTTACACGAACGCAGAGGAAGGTCGAGGGGAATTAAATAATTGATTACGCAAAGTCGCTTCAAATATGACGTTTCTTTACAGAAAGTGACGGTAATAAATACATCTACACAGCAGTGCTACATCCGTACGTGACGTCACTCTAAAAGAGCCCCCCCTCCCCCCTTCATTGATATTCATGCCCGCGTGGAAATTTACACGAACGCACAAGAAGGTCGCGCACTCCACATACCGCACCTCTCCCCAATAACCATTAGGGGGTGACGTCACTCCACATGCCGCACCCCTCCCCAATAACCATGAGGGGTGACGTCACTCCACATGCCGCACCCCTCCCCAATAACCATTAGCGGGTGACGTCACTCAACATGGTGCAACCCCCCTAATTAATAATCATGAGCTGAACAATTTTTCCATGGAATAGTTCAGATTTACTGCAATACACCCGTCCTTGGACGGGCAAACAAGCTAGGATTTCAAATAAGGGGCCGTCCATAAATGACGTCATGCACCTGGGGGGGGGGGGGTCAGACATTTGTGACAATGTGACGATAGGGGGGGGGGTGAGAAATGTGACGTCACATCAAAATGCGCAAACTTTAAATAAATCAAGGGTGGGGGAAAAAACCCGATTTTTTGTTTGTTTGCCCGACAAATCGGGTTATTGGTGTTAATGGAATTGAAACCCGGTTACACAGCATAATAAAACCTGGTTTTATTATCGGCGTCTCGTGCACACTTCAATCCTGCTCCTCCTCCTCGTCGTCTTCGTCGTCGTCGCTCTCGCCGCTGGACTCGGCGTTGTCGCCGGCCGCCGCCTTGGGCTAGCCGTGGAACGCGCCGGGGTTCGGCCCGACGAATACGAGCCTTCCCGACTGCGCGGGGGCGCCAGGCCGTTCCCCGGCTTGGCATGGATGAATCCCGGCGTCGAGAAGCTTCGCTCAGACGCGGCCACGCTGGACAGTTCGATGGCCGATCTTCTTTGAGCTGCGGGATAGCCGCTGCCGACGGGCGACGGCTGAGCCCCGGGGCCTCGGCCCGAACGCCGCTGACGGGTGCCGTGCCGTGCGTGCGACTGAAATCCCGACTTAGCTTTTAGTAAAACCGAATAAAACCGGATTTGGGCAGGATCCAGGTGCTCCGGTTTTATATATTTAAAAAAAAACGATTAAAACCCGAATGAATAAAACCGGGCCGTGCCAGCCTTGAAATAAATATAGACAACACGTTCTACTTAAGTAAATAGACTTTTTAATTAACAAAAAATGTCTCCTACAACATCAGAGTGCAGCGCCACATTAAATACGCACTACGATGACAATAGATTAAAGCGAATTGAAGCATGTTTTTTTGGGGGGGGGGGCAGCGCTTTGTGACGTCATATTTGAGGGGTGGGGGGGTCTGACTTTCGTGACGCCGTGTGACGAAGGGGGTGGAGTCAAAAATCGCGTAACGTAATTTATGGACGGCCCCTAAATACATACCCTGCACACACGGCGTGGCTTCGTGCAGACGCTCGCTCTGTACACCCGAAAGGGACGTTTATTGCACGTTTGGGGCCGTCCATAAATGACGTCACGCGATTTTGGACGATTTTTGACCCCCCACCCCTTCGTCACACGGCGTCACAAAAAGTCAGACCCCCCCCTCAAATATGACGTCACAAAGCTCTACGCCTCCCCCCCCCCCAAAAATAAAACATGCTTCAAATCTCTTTAAACTATTGTCATTGTAGTGCATATTTAATGTGGCGCTGCACTCTGATGTTGTAGGAGAAAACATTTATTAAAAAGTATATTTAATTAAGTTAGAACGTGCTGTCTATATTCATTTAAAGTTGCGCGTTTTGACGTGACGTCACATTTCTCACTCCCCCTCCCCCATCGTCACCCATCGTCACAAATGTCTAACCCCCCCCGCCCCGGTGCGTGACGTCATTTATGGACGGCCCCTTTGACATTTACAAACGCATGTTTGGTGATGCTCCCCTCTACGGCTGCGTTGGCAGTGGTGTACAAGCACAATTAACAGCGCTTTATAGCTCATCGGATTACTCGAGTATTAGAATACATATTCTGATATTTAACCGGTTATTTCTACGCGGAACACGTCATGTGCTGCATGCGTGTGCGCGCTCATTCCAAATACGTTCATGACGTCATTGCATTACTTGTGTGCTGAAGAATGACGTCATATCTAATATACAGGATAGTATTTGTAAACAGATTGGTTTGCACACGCGTTCTTGCATGACGTCACATCTGAGGTACAGGTTATATGTAAACATTGGGACCAGACAATGTTGCTGACATGACATCACCATCTCACTTTCATTTTAAACTGATGACGTTTCCTTAGGTACGCGCGCGTTCGCATGACGTCACATCTCAGTTACAGAATCTGTATGATAAATGACGTAATCATACGAGATACGTGCGATGACGTAACAGTCACAGAACATTTTGCAGTACACGCGCACGCATGACGTCACGGCAATAACACTGCGGCCTTAAAAGAGGGGGGGGGAGGGAGAACAATAATCGACGTTTCGGGCAGTGTCCCGTCTTCAAAGCACTTCTTAATGCGGCGCGAGTTTGAAGGGACATTATTTAAAACGTGGCACCTATTATTTCCTTAGGCCACACACGCAGTGATATTATTGACGCGTGCGTTGAGTCAGGGGCCGTCCATAAATGACGTCATGCGATTTTGGACGATTTTTGACCCCCCCCCCCCCATCGTCACACGGCGTCACAAAAAGTTAGACCCCCCCCTCAAATATGACGTCACAAAGCTCTGCCCCCCCCCCGCTAAAAAATAAAACACGTTTAAAATCGCTTTAAACTATTGTCATCGTAGTGCGTATTTAATGTGGCGCTGCACTCTGATGTTGTAGGAGAAAACATTTATTAAAAAATCTATTTAATTAAGTAGAACGTGTTGTCTATATTTATTTAAAGTTGCGCATTTTGACGTGACGTCACATTTCTCAACCCCCTCCTCGTCACACGACGTCACAAATGTCTGACCCCCCCCAGGTGCGTGACGTCATTTATGGACGGCCCCGAACTCGTTTTGCTAATTGTTAACTATGCTTGTGCATGCACTGCCAACAACGCAGCGCGCGACACATTCACCCAAGTTAGTTTTTAAACTTCTCAAATCACTTTTGCTGTTGTTGTTGCGTCATTTCTCCCCCATTTAAAAAAAGACTCGGGTTATGACGTCACCCGCGCTGCCCCTTGTCGGACAATTGCCTACTGCTGCCCCCACCCCCCCTATTGTTATTGTCTACTGCTGCCCCCCTACTGCTGCCCCCTCCCCCATTGCCTACTGCTGCCCCCCTCCCCCATTGCCTACTGCTGCCCCCTCTTTTGCTATTGCCTACTGCTGCCCCCCTCCCCCATTACCTACTGCTGCCCCCCTATTGCTATTGTCTACTGCTGTCCCCCTATTGCTATTGCCTACTGCTGCCCCCCCTATTGCTATTGTCTACTGCTGCCCCCCTCCCCCATTGCCTACTGCTGCCCCCCTCCCCCATTGCCTACTGCTGCCCCCCTCTTGCTATTGCCTACTGCTGCCCCCCCTCCCCCCATTGCCTACTGCTGCCCCCCTATTGTTATTGCTTACTGCCCCCCCCAATTGCTATTGCCTACTGCTGCCCCCCCTCCCCCCATTGCCTACTGCTGCCCCCCAATTGTTATTGCCTACTGCTGCTCCCCCTCCCACCATTGCCTACTGCTGCCCCCCTATTGTTATTGCCTACTGCTGCCCCCTGGCGGAACGTCCGGACTCTGTGCTACAGGGGGGCCCACGATGGGCCATGCGCAATTGGCTCGCCGCAAAAAATTCGCTTCGCGGGCACACGCGCGCGCGTGCGCTAAATGTTATTGTCAAACAACGCCGTGGGTGGAATGAGAGAGCTCCTTCAAGGCCGACGCGGCTCCCCTCCGTCTCGATGATCACCCGACGCGCCTGAGAAAACCTTTGCCCCGTTAAACCTGAGCCCGAAGGCAATTTGGAGCAGGGGTTTTCGAGCGGAAGGAGACGTGAATTTTAATGGCAGTGAGTGCGGTGGTGGTGGCGGCGGTGGTGGTGGTGATGATGATGATGATGACAATAATAGCAGCAGCAGTAGCAGCAAAGCGAAGACATTGACAATAGCATCAGCATCGGCAGTTATGGGTAAAAAACATAAGAAGCATAAATCGGAGAGACGCGACTACAAAGGTATGGATTGTGATGATTTGATATCTTTGTGGGTTCACGTGGGTGGTGGTGGTGGTGATGGTGCTGCTTATGGCTTCGACAGTATTGTAGTGAGAAACATCAGCTGATGATAGCGGTTGCTGGTGGTGGTGGTTGTGGCGGTGATGATGCGGTCATGATGTCATCATCATCATCAATAGCATGCCATCAGTAGTAGCACTGATCACGTGGATGATTGTCAACGTGACAGTGGTGATGAGGGTAATGAATAATCATTGGGATTGAGGTGGTGATTATTGTAATATTTATGATCTGATCATCAGCGTGATGAGGTCCTAAGCATCGCATTCACGTGGGTCATTGTCAACATGACGGTGGCGATAAATCATTGCGATGGAGATAAGTGTTTGAGATGGTTTTGAATCGAGAGGTTATTGTGATCCACCATCAAGATTACATCGTCAATCATAGGAAATGATGGTCATCGTATATGGATGATTGTCAGCGGAATGATTATTGCGATTTTGATCACAGTGGATGTTGTGACAATGATGACTTTGCTGGTGATGGCATGATTTGTCAACAGAGTTATCAAAGTTATGAATATGTGATGAATGAAATCATGGTGATGGTTTTCATAATGACGACAATTATTCGTGATTGGAACTGGCATCATGATGATGATGATGATACTCGCCATTATAGTGGGCATTTTAAAACACAGGTCTCTACTGAATCTCAAAACAGACGATTACATGTTGTACTGCAAGCAATCCTTTGCATATCCACATATATACTGTATATAATAACGCGGGATGGAACGCGCCTAAGGGGTGACCCGCAGTGGACATGGAACAATGAATTCAGCTGACGTGCCGCTGGCCCTGCATGGATTGTTACATCGCAGCACCCGGGACAGCGCTCGATTGATCTTTCCAGGGGACACGTGGTGCCCGTATCGGCTCACCTGGCGTAAATTCCCACTTCGTTGAGCTATCATTTGCGTGGCAAAGGTCGCTTCTGAAAGAGGAGATACTAAGCTCAGTGAGCCCTTTACCTGGTAAGCTTTAAAAGCAATAGTTTAATTTTATATATTTTCGTTATAAAGTTATTGGCTTACCTTTCCTATACTTTGCGCTCCTATCGTGCTGTTTTTTGTATTGTTTGTTGTTGTTGTTGTAACGTTCTGACCCCGTGCGTCTACCCGACATCCGTGGAAAAAGAGCTTCATAGCTCATCGGATTCCTCATCCAGTATAAGTAAAGACTCAGATTCTGACTTGATTCGAAGCTTTCGTGACTGCAGGAATTACTCTTTGTGTTTTTTCGGTAAAGTCACCTATAAATAAGAATTAATAAAATAACATAATAGCGTACGACGTTTCGGTTGCAACACAAGCAGCCATCATCAGGTACAGAAGAGCTAAATTTACGAGAGAAATAGCGTAATCGACCAGACTGTGCGTTAATTGTGTTCTGACCGACCGTCTGTTGCTTTATATGGTTTCCAAATTTTGCTAAACCCTGTGTTGTTTGGTGTGCTTCTCTCTCTGTGTCCCCTGTTGTATCTGTGTTAGTTCCCCCCTACTTGGGTGTCTGTATATACATCTGGGGTTATGTGTTTCCTCTCTCTCGTGAATTTAGCTCTTCTGTACCTGATGATGGCTGCTTGTGTTGCAACCGAAACGTCGTACGCTATTATGTTATTTTATTATTTCTTATTTCTACGTGACTTTACCGAAAAAACCAAAGAGTAACTCAGATTCTGAGTCGCACCCATGATTGTGCACCTCACACCGGTTTACGGTCCACAGATTCCCAGTACTGTAGAAGTCTTGTGCCGTATCTTGCCGTTTGCGTGACATGTCAATTTTGCGGTGAAAATTTCCAAGGTGGAGTGGAGCTGTCTGGCCCACCACGTGATGCAACAGTGAGGCGGAGATTGAACTCTTAAGCTGGCGAGATGTTAACTACCTCGCCTGGTATGTAGGAGGTCGTCGGTTCGATCCCGACCCTGACGCCTGCTGTATATCTCTCCTCCCTAGCTCCTCCCCCCCCCCCCTCTCTTACCTATAAAGCCTCTTGTTACAGCAGCTCTTTTGCCCACTTCAGCAATATTGTTTCTTGCTGTGGTTGTCCCACCTGATGACGGACGCTTGTGTTGCGCCCGAAAAACGTCGTGATAAAATTTATTTTAAAAAAATTTATACCGACGTGACTTTACCGAAAGAACCCAAGAGTACGTGTATTTGGAGTTTGTATTTTCTCCCCGTGGTCACGCGGATTTTCCGGCAGGCCCTCCAGTGTCTCCCCCTCCACATTTAGAAACGTGCGTTAAGAGTATTCGGCTGCTGCTGCTGCACATGCCCACGTGACAAGCCACTTAGTTGAGCTGTCATTTGTTGATAGCCAGGGCGCTTCTGTAAAAGAGCTGCGTAGCTCAATGGGCCTTACCTGGTGACATAAAAATAGTTTAGTTGTTGTAGTTTAGAGGAATAACATACTTTTGTTTGTTCGATTCCATCTACAAAGGGGCATTGAACAGGATGGTGGTGTGGGCTGGTGGTGTGGGCTGATGGTCACTGTTGTAGAGGTACAGCCTCTACCCAGAAGTACCACTTTTGAATAAAGTCAGTTTGACACGTAGGCTTTCGCGACCATATTATTCACAATCTAGATTTGAGTAGAACTTGTGAATGTTGTGGGTTTACTCCCCAACGCACCGGTGTGCTGAAGTGCTGTAGTCACTGATTGGCACGTTTTGGTTACGTGACAAACATTAAATATTGACTTAAAGCTTTCGTGACTGCAGGAATTCACTTTCTTTGGCTCTTTCGTTAAGGTCACATAGAAAGGTTCAAAGAAAATAACAAAAAAAACTGCCGTTATTTTTTTGTTATTTTTCTTGTTATTTTCTTTGAACCCAGACCCAAAGAATGTGACAAACATTACTAATTGGTTGTGCCCGGTGGTGGCGGATTTAACGACGGCATTTATATTTCCGTGATCTAACCCAAAAACAAAACAAACTTTATTTGAATAAATTGTTGCCGTCACGTGAACCATTCGCGTTCCCTCTCTGTGATGTTGCCCAGTCATCTCAACCGGCCTCGTGATGCGATCGGGTTACCAGAACACAACGCAGAATAACATCCATCTTCCCCGAATCCGGACGGGCCGTTGGGCTTAGCGTTGGTCCAACGGCAACCAACGTCCTGGCCACCCTGACACGTTCACCGGGATGGCTGACGACGATGACGACCCCGTTGAGAGCGAGCGCTGTGTTTCTGTCGCCAGCCGGTCTGTGTGAGGCCGCAGAGCGGACGGACAAACCGCTCCGCCTCGTGCTCAAGGTGGTGGGCGCCGCGGTGCCATCCCTGACCACCAGCTCACCGGCCGCACCCACCGCTGCCACCGCCTCCACCGCCTCCACCGCCGCCACCGCCGCCACAACCACAACAGCCTCGAACGTGACCGCCACCGTGACCACCGACACCACCAACACAACCGCCGCCGCCGCCGCCGCTTGCACGGCGCACGAGGCGCCGGTGTGCCCGCCCCCAGTCTCCGCCGCCGCAGCCTCCAAGGCCGGGCCCTCGCCTTCGCGGGGCTCGGCTGACGGCCCGCGACCGGAGCCGGACGCCGAGCCGGATCGGAACGCTGACTCGGACCGGCACCGCGAGCGCCGGAAAAAAAAGAAGAAGAAATCGGAGAAGGAGAGGGAGCGGCGGCCCGGTGATGAGGAGCGCCGGCGCAGGAAGGTGTGGGGGTGGCAGCCCTAAGGGCCGCCCCGGTTAACGCTGCGGGGCCTTCACCTGGCCGCGGATTTAGAGAGGGCTGTGACATCGATAATGAAGACATTGGAGACTTTTATAATCACCCAGCAAGCACGATCGCTGACCACGTGGCCCCTCCTCTGAACCCCGTGTGCCCACGAGTGTGACCTCACGTGACCCCGCATGTGACCCCCGCGTGCGACCCCGCGTGTTGTGGGGAGCGATAGTGTAGTAGCGGTTAGCGCGCTGCGCTATGAACCTGGCGACCCGGGTTCGATTCCCGCTCACGGCCAACACCGGTGACGATTACCTGAACCGGTCCCGGGCCTCCCCTAGGTCGACTCAGCCTCAAATGAGTACCTGGTGCGGTGTGTAAACATTGCCACTAGGGAGACAAAGGCGGTCGGGCGTGGTGCTGGCCACCCCACCCCCTCGTGTACCGTTCCGGCCTTCATAGGTGCTCGCTAACAGCACTTGCCCCTACAGTCTGTTAAGGCTATACGGGGGATCTTTGTCTTTGACCCCGCCTGTGAGCGGTAGTGCAGCGGTTAGCGCGCTGTGCTACAAACCCAGCAACCCGAGTTTGATTGCCGCTTACGCCCAACACCAGTGACGATTAGCTCAATTGGTCCTGGGCCTCCCCTCGGTCGACTCAGCCTCAATATAGAAGTCTATAGGAGCCTTTAACACTTAAGTGTATGTATGCATGTTGAACTTCTTTCCCACCGTACGTAGCCAACCGCGCTAATCGGAGGTATGGGCTCAGGACAACAAACCAAACTCAAATGAGTATCTGGTGCAGTGTGTAAACACAACCACGAGGGAGACAAAGCCCCCCAGGCGTGGTGCTGGTCACACACCCCCTCGTGTGCCGTGCCGGCCTTCGTACTTGCTCACTAACACCACTTGCCCCAACAGCTTGGTAAGGCTACACATGGGGGGGATCTTTGTCTTTTTAAACCCGCCTGTGACCCCGCCTGTGACCCCGCCGCGTGACCCCGCCACGTGACCCCGCCACGTGACCCCGCCACGTGCGACCCCGCCGTGTCGTCTAGGTGGAGAAGAAGAAGCATCGCGAGAAGGAGCAGAGCGGCAGCGACGCCGACGAGGAGTTCTCTCCACCCAAGAAGGTGGAGGTGAAGGCGCCGCCGGTGCTGGAGCGGCCCCTGCGAGCCTGCCGCAACAAGGACCAAGGCACCGCCGCGTCCACCCGCTCGCTCGCTCGCTCGCCCGCTTACCCGCCACCGCGGCGCCCATCATTTTAAAAAAAATCGATTGCAGATTATCGCTTCGATTCCTCGATTATCAACTTGAATGCTCGACGAGTCGGACAAGGGGGGCCACAGCTAGGATGTCCGGAGATTATTGAAGCGATTATCCCGACTATCGGTTTGATTAGCCCACTGTCGGTTTGATTACTCGGTAAAACCGATTATCAGTTCAGTCGCTCAATAACACGAAAATCGTCGTCAGAAAATAGCCTCACCTCTGAAGACGGTGACTTTGTTTTCTCAGTTAGCCTGATGCACCCGACTCAACCTCAGGCGCTAGAGTCTTAACGTTGAGGGGGTGTTATTCTTTCGTGTCAAAATTATTGGCATTTTTTATTGGGTTGTGATTTATTTATTTAGTTTTGCGTTATCGTTGTGGATTAGGGATCCCTTTCATATTTACTATCGTTTCATATTTTAAGGACAACGTCAGAACTTGTTTGGCAGGAGGCTTCCTGAACGTTTCCATCGTGTGCTTGTGTGGTGCGAAATGTCGTCGTGCTGACAATCGTCGCGTCACCTGATGCCACGTGGACGCCATTTTGTGAGGGGGTGGGGGGGGGGGAAGTGATGGCCTGTTAGTGACGTCACTTCCCTTTTCGGACCAATCAGAGACAACCAAACGATTCGGGCCGTCCAAACAAATTTCCTACGGCCTGAATTTAGGAGTACAGTAAAACCTTGGATTGCGGGTAACTTGGCCTGCGAGTGTTTTGCAAGTCGAGCAAAAATTGTAAATAAATATTAATTTGATAAACGAGCGAGGTTCTTGCAATACGAGCAGTACGTGTACACGCTTTGTCTGCCGAGCGTCACGTGATCACAACTGATATACGCTGTGCTTTGATATACGAGTGCTTTGGATTACAAACACGTTTCCGGAACGCATTATGCTCGCAATCCAAGGGTTTACTGTATTGTTTTTTTTATATTAATCTATTGGATTTGAATTGCTGACAGGCAGCTCGATGTCATCGCTCCGCTCTCAATGCCTCCCCCAGGCCAGGAGCTGACGCCGCTGCAGCTGTTACTTGAGCATCTTCTGCAGCAGCTTCAGAGGTGACTTCATCGTCGTCATCATTGTCAGCATGGTCAAAATAATCATGGTTTGTTTTTGGTATGACGCACCGATACGCCGGGGCGACTCAGAGCGGCTTGCATTACATTTCGTATCAAACACCTTTGAAAGGGCACCCCCAGTGGCAGCTGTCCCTACGGGTACAAAGTGGCATCCTTAAGTCGGCTCACAGTGGGCCGCCCTGCTGGGAACTTATTGAGAAACTGAATTTATAAACCCGAAGAAGCTTCCAGCACGATGTCTGAGGTTCCGCCCGATGTTAGGGTGCCACTCAATGTGCGTATGGAAGAGTGAACTGTCAGTTTTCTGGGATTGCAGCTGGGAATCTCGTTCAAGTTACAGGCTCCTCAGGATCCCCCCTCCCCCCCCCCCCCTCATCTTCTCCACGCCTGTCCCTCTACGATAAGACTCTGATTGGTATCGACTGTAATAAATACATTTTTACAACTCCGTTGAGCCACCGGTAAGTATCGAAAGATCCTTTGTTCGAGCCACCGAACGAAGACGGTTACCACATCGCGAGCTTGCAGATGCGCTTCTGCGGCCGTCTGCAACGCTCTTCCTTCAGATATGAGGAAGCCACTGGAGCTATGCTCTTTTAAATCGTCCAGATTGACAAACTCATTTCTTTAGAACAGATTTTTATGTTTAGTTGTCCATCCCCCGCAACGCCGATTAGCAGGGTTGGCTCCGTACCGTGCGAAAGAAGTTCAACATCCACAGACTCACACAGAGATCCATAGACTCACGCAGAGACTCATAAACTCACACAGAGACTCATAGACTCACACATAGACCCATAGAGTTATACAGAGACCCATAGACTCACACAGAGACCCATAGACTCACACAGATCCATAGACTCACACAGAGACCCATAGACTCACACAGAGACCCATAGACTCACAGAGAGATCCATAGACTCACACAGAGACCCATAGGCTCACACAGAGACCCATAGACTCACACGGAGACCCATAGACTCACACAGAGACCCATAGACTCACACAGAGACCCATAGACTCACACAGAGACCCATAGACTCACACAGAGACCCATAGACTCACACAGAGACCCATAGACTCACAGAGAGATCCATAGACTCACACAGATCCATAGACTCACAGAGAGATCCATAGACTCACACAGAGGCCCATAGACTCACACAGAGACCCACAGACTCACACAGAGACCCATAGTCTCACACAGAGACCCACAGACTCACACAGAGACCCATAGACTCACACAGAGACCCATAGTTTGTTGTCCTTCCCCTGCCCTTTCTGATTATCACGGTTGGCTACGCACGGTGCGAAAAGAAGTTCAACGTGCGTTACATGCAGTGCTTCAATTTCGCAGGCAAAGAATGACAACACGGGCACGGACCTTGAAGATGTTAAAAACGTTAAGGACGACCGGCGCGTGATGCTACGTGCTGGGAGCCATTATTGAAATGGGAGTGCCACGTTCACGTGCTATGCCTTCCCCAGGAGGGACCCGCACGGATTTTTCGCGCTGCCTGTGACAGACATGATCGCCCCGGGCTACTCCATGATCATCAAGCACCCGATGGACTTCAGCAACATGAAGGACAAGATCGAACGCAACGCCTACCAGTCGCTCACCGAGTTTAAGGTCCGCGCCACTGTCACGTTGTGCCCACGGGGACAACTGCCGCTGTGGGGGGTGGGGGGGGTGGTTGCTCTTTATATATATATTTTAAAAAAATAATGTGCTGAGATGATATGCCCTGACGTTAAAGAAGAATTGTATTGTTTTGGATCTTCGGATAATTAACGTTACTCAATGTAACGTCTGCGTGCGAGCAAAAGTGACTTCAGCTTCGGTTGGGGAAGGCGCGGAAGTGTCGCGATGCAAGTGACGCCACTTCCCGTGGCGTCACTCTCCCGCGGTCGACCCCAAGTTACATTTTCATTTCTGGATCCCCCACCCCCGCCCCCCCCCCGAACCGTCGCGCCTCGGCCCCCGATTTGTGTCTTTCGACTTTTGCTCCGGATGATCCGCAAGTCGTCAACACGCGTCCCTGCCACCCGCCGTGCTTCACACTGCTGCCCTTTGACACCGCAGGGAGATTTCAAGCTGATGTGTGACAACGCGATGACCTACAACCGCCCGGAGACCGTGTACTACAAGGCAGCCAGAAAGCTCCTGCACACGGGATTCAAGATGATGTGCAAGGTTTGTAAAAAAAAACAACAACATTAAAATAAATGTTTGCCTTGCTGTTCCCCAATTATAAATCGGTGTCACGTGATGACAGGAAGTTACGTTAATTCGGAAATTCTTGCGGAAGCTAATGTGGCATTGCCCTGTGTTAGGGAACGGCCCACGGAAGTGGATATCACAGAGTTGCCTCTTAGATACCTTCAGGTGCCATTTGAACACGCCGCCTCTGCTATGAACCTTCTTCAACCCCAACCATTTTCCCAACTTGATCTCCATCAAATTTCGATTTAAAGCTTTCGTGACTGCAAGGATTCATCTTGTTTGGTTCTTTCGGTAAAGTCACGTAGAATGAAATAATAAAATAAAACAATAAAATTCTCACGACGTTTCGGCCACAACACAAGTGGCCTTCTTCAGGTGAAAGGAACAAACCTGTCGGGACGACAGAGCTTCAATGAACGCTGCTAAGATTCGTAGCGTCTTTTAAGCTGGTTGAGAGAAGTGAGGCACCTTGACAAAGGGGTTTACATATCAAACAGGATAATTTAGCATTGAAATAGCTGAGGGATTAGCTTGTGACTGGTCACAGAAATAGCTATGTTAAAGTCAAAGCCTATACATCCACAGAGGCACCGCGTGCATGGACGCCAAAAGGGGCTGCAACAACTCAACTATCATACAGTAAACCGATGTGAAAAAAACTTAAGTCTAAATTACATCAATATAATAAATGTACTCAATATATTCTTCAATAAGCAGAGCTATTAACAGCAACTGGGTATACACTACACTCTATAATGAATTACTATATAGTAAACAGATAAAAAACTAAAATATAAACTACCTCAATGTTATCAATAAACTATATATATTCTCCAATCAGCTGAGCTACCAACAATAAGTCGTTATATATCACGATGTTATATGGCGAAAAAAAATGGGTGGATTCTTACCCTCCACATCAGCACCACGGACAGCTACGAGCCCAGTTCAGACGGACGAGTCCATCATGGTCAGAACAGAGGAGAGAAACAGCTGCGAGGCACTGTTATAATCATGTTATAAACCATACCATTAACCGTGGTGTGAGAAGTATTAAGAGTCAATGCCAGCGAAAGAGCTGCGGTCTGAAGGTCAACATAAAATAATTAATTAAGAACCGAAATGGTTTAAAACATCTTTCCAATGGTTACTAAGCCAGAATCCATCTTCTCGGTTGAAATTGTCTCTGTGCTTGTATATGTGGATAGCCTCATGAACGAATCTCTCATGGTAGCCGGTTGGTATGGTTTATAACATGATTATAACAGCGCCTCGCAGCTGTCTCTCTCCTCTGTTCCGACCATGATGGACTCGTCCGTCTGAACTGGGCTCGTAGCTGTCCGTGGTGCTGATGTGGAGGGTAAGAATCCACCCATTTTTTCGCCATATAGCATCGTGATATATAACGACTTATTGTTGGTAGCTCAGCTGATTGGAGAATATATAGAGTTTATTGATAACATTGAGGTAGTTTATATTTTAGTTTTTTATCTGTTTACTATATGGTATTCATTATAGAGTGTAGTGTATACCCAGTTGCTGTTCATAGCTCTGCTTATTGAAGAATATATTGAGTACATTTATTATATTGATGTAATTTAGACTTAGGTTTTTTTTCATATCGGTTTACTGTATGATAGTTGAGTTGTTGCAGCCCCTTTGGCGTCCATGTACGAGGTGCCTCTGTGGATGTGTAGGCTTTGACTTTAACATAGCTATTTGTATGACCAGTCACAAGCTAATCCCTCAGCTATTTCAATGCTAAATTCTCCTGTTTGATATGTAAACCCCTTTGTCAAGGTGCCTCACTTCTCTCAACCAGCTTAAAAGACGCTGCGAATCTTAGCAGCGTTCAATGTAGCTCTGTCGTCCCGACAGGTTTGTTCCTTTCACCTGAAGAAGGCCACTTGTGTTGTGGCCGAAACGTCGTGAGAATTTTATTATTTTATTTTATTATTTCATTCTACGTGACTTTACCGAAAGAATCAAAGAAGTTGATCTCCATCTATAACCCCAACCCTCTCCCTCGCTCCCTGTGTCCATCCCGAATCCTAACCCAGCCCTATCTCTTGGTCTCCATTCTGAACGCTAACCTCTAACCCAACTCTATCCACATCTCCACTCCTAACCACCACCTCTAACCCAAACCTATCTCCACTCCGAACCCCTAACGCAACCCTGTCTTCACTCCTAACCATAACCTCTAACCCAAACCTATCCCTCTCACCACTCCTAGCACGTAGCCCCTAACCCCTAATCCTATCCCTATCTGCACCCCTAACCCCATCTGTGGGCACAGGAGAAGCTGCTGCTGCTCAAGCGGAGCATGGTATTCATGCACAGCATGGACCGCTCGCAGGAGGCCGCCATCTACGGCGAGGGTGGCGGCTGCTCCTCCTCCTCTCCGCTGCTGTTGCTGCTACCCGGTGGCGGTGGTGGTGGTGGTGGTGGTGGTGGCGGTGCCGGCGGCGGCGGCGCCAGCGACCACGGCTCCCTCTCGCCCGCCGAGCGCTCCGAGGCCGGCTGGCGAGCACGCAAGTCCGGCAGGGACCCACTGAGGTGCCCGGGGGCAGGGAGGCGGTGGTGGTTAAGGTGGTGGCGGTGGTGGTGGTGGTGGTGGTGGTTATGATGGTGGTGGCGGTGGCGGCGGCGGCGGCGGTATTTGTGATGGCAACGGTCGTGACGGTGGTGGTGATGGTGATGATAACGGTGGTGGCGGTGATGGTAAGGGTGGCAGCAGTGATGGTGGTGGCAATGGTGGTGGTAGTGGTGGTGGCAATGGTGGTTAATGGTGGTGGTGGTGGTGCTCCCACCACCACCACCGCCACTGACCCGCACAATCTCATTTGAGAGCGCGCGCGTATCACGGCGTGTGTGTGTGTGTGTCACGCGAGCGTATCGCGCTGTTTGTGTTGTCGTGCCCTCCTCCCACCGCCCCCCGCCCCCCACCACTCCTCCCACCGCCCCCCCCCCCCTGCGTGTCCCAGCTTCCCCGCGGCGGCGGCGGCGGCCTACACGCCCGAGTCGAGCGCGTGCAGCCTCACGGACAGCACGGGCGAGGAGGACGTCACCGCCCTGGCCGAGCACGCGGCCGACGAGGCACGCGAGCGCCTGCAGCACAGCCGTCCCCGGAGCAAGGTGTGTCCACCCGGCCCACTCGTCCCTGTGTGTGTCCACCCGGCCCACTCGTCCCTGTGTGTGTCCACCCGGCCCACTCGTCCCTGTGTGTGTCCACCCGGCCCACTCGTCCCTGTGTGTGTCCACCCGGCCCACTCGTCCCTGTGTGTGTCCACCCGGCCCACTCGTCCCTGTGTGTGTCCACCCGGCCCACTCGTCCCTGTGTGTGTCCACCCGGCCCACTCGTCCCTGCGTGTCCACCCAGCCCACTCGGACCTTCCATGCAGTTGCTCTTCAACGCCCCCTGTGCCACCCGAAGACATCAATCTCTGCCTCCTCTCTCTACATTCTCTCCCACCCACCCCCCATTCTCCTCTCCATTCTACATTCTCCCTTCTGCTCTCTCTGTCCCCTCTCCTTTCTCTCCACTCTCCCCTTCCGCCTCTCTTCCCAGACACAGATAGCGTCAGCGCCATCGGCATGTGCATCCTATCCCCCTCCACTCTCTGCACTTTCCCCTCCTATTCACTCTCCCCTGTCTCACTCTCTTCCCGCTCCTCCCTGTGGCCACCGCATCTCTGTCCGGATCTGCCCGGATCTTTCTGGATCTGCCCGGAATCTATCCCGACCTCTCTCCCGGTCTGTAACCGGTTCGCACGAACTCGCCCGGGATCTCCGCCGGGGTCTGCGGGTGCCAGATCGGGATCCTCCGGCGGGACTGCGGTGGCTCCACGTCGCTGGCGGTCCTCAACCCTTCGGATCCGGACACCGAGGGTAACGTCATCACCCGGAGACACCGTGGGGGGGGGGGACTAGGGTCCCCCCCCCCCCGCCCCCCACCGAGCCTCGCGGCCAGACCACAGCGCCACGGCCACCGTGCCGTGAAGTGGTTGCCGCACGGGCCGGTCCGGGGCCAAACGATGCAACCTTTCGACCTTTCGATTCGCGCGGTTGGCTGCCTACGGCGCGGAAGAAGTTCGACATACACACGGACGTGGAATGGGCTCGCGACTGCACCCCCTGGCCCAAGCGGCGGTCGTCGTGAAGCCAGTGGTGCTCCTGGTGGTTTGAGTGGTGTCGGCGGCAGCGGTGGCGGTGCTGGTGGTAGTTGCCGTGGTGGTTGTTGCAGTGGTGATGGTTATAGCGGTGGTGGTGGTGGTTGTAGCAGCAGTGGTGGTGGTCGCGGTGGTGGTTATGGTGGTGGTTGTGTTGGTTATAGCGATGGTCACGGTGGTGGTTATGGTGGTTGTAGTGATGGTGGTGGGAACAGTTGTGGTCATGGTGGTTGTGGTGGTGGTTGTGTTGGTTATTAGTTATGGTCATGGTGGTTGTGGTGGTGGTTGTGTTGGTTATAGCGATGGTCATGGTAGTTGTAGTGGTGGTGATGTTGGTTATTAGCGATGGTCATGGTAGTTGTAGTGGTGGTTGTGTTGGTGATTAGTGGTGGTTATGGTGGTTGTAGTGGTGGTTGTGTTGGTTATAGCGATGGTCGTGGTGGTTATAGTGGTGGTTGTGTTGGTTATAGTGATGGTCGTGGTGGTTGTAGTAGTGGTTATGTTGGTTATTAGTGGTGGTTGTGTTGGTTATTAGTGGTGGTTGTGTTGGTTACTAGTGGTGGTTATGGTGGTTGTAGTGGTGGTTGTGTTGGTATTAGTTATGGTCATCGTGGTTGTGGTGGTGGTTGTGTTGGTTATAGTGATGGTCATGGTGGTTGTGGTGGTGGTTGTGTTGGTTATAGTGATGGTCATGGTGGTTGTAGTGGTGGTTGTGTTGGTTATAGTGATGGTTATGGTGGTTGTAGTGGTGGTTGTGTTGGTTATAGTAATGGTCATGGTGGTGGTGGTTGTGTTGGTTATAGTGATGGTCATGGTGGTTGTGGTGGTGGTTGTGTTGGTTATTAGTGGTGGTTATGGTGGTTGTAGTGGTGGTTGTGTTGGTTATTAGTTATGGTCATGGTGGTTGTAGTGGTGGTTGTGTTGGTTATAGCGATGGTCATGGTGGTTGTAGTGGTGGCTGTGTTGGTTATTAGTTATGGTCATCGTGGTTGTGGTGGTGGTTGTGTTGGTTATAGTGATGGTCATGGTGGTTGTAGTGGTGGTTGTGTTGGTTATAGTGATGGTTATGGTGGTTGTAGTGGTGGTTGTGTTGGTTATAGTGATGGTCATGGTGGTTGTGGTGGTGGTTGTGTTGGTTATAGTGATGGTCATGGTGGTTGTGGTGGTGATTGTGTTGGTTATAGTGATGGTCGTGGTGGTTGTAGTAGTGGTGATGTTGGTTATTAGTGGTGGTTATGGTGGTTGTAGTGGTGGTTGTGTTGGTTATTAGTGGTGGTTATGGTGGTTATTAGTGGTGGTTATGGTGGTTATTAGTGGTGGTGGTGGTGGTGGTGGTTGTGTTGGTTATAGTGATGGTCATGGTGGTTGTAGTGGTGGTTATGGTGGTTGTACTAGTGGTTATTAGTGGTGGTGGTGGTGGTTATTAGTGGTGGTGGTTGTAGTAGTGGTGATGTTGGTTATTAGTGGTGGTTATGGTGGTTGTAGTGGTGGTTGTATTGGTTATAGTGATGGTCATGGTGGTTGTAGTGGTGGTCATGGTGGTTATTAGTGGTGGTGGTGGTTATTAGTGGTGGTGGTGGTTGTAGTGGTGGTTATGGTGGTTATTAGTGGTGGTGGTGGTGGTTATTAGTGGTGGTTATGGTGGTTATTAGTGGTGGTGGTTATTAGTGGTGGTTATGGTGGTTGTAGTGGTGGTGATGTTGGTTATTAGTGGTGGTTATGGTGGTTATTAGTGGTGGTGGTGGTGGTTGTAGTGGTGGTTGTGTTGGTTATTAGTGGTGGTGGTAGTGGTGGTTATTAGTGGTGGTGGTGGTTGTAGTGGTGGTTATTAGTGGTGGTTATGGTGGTTATTAGTGGTGGTGGTTGTAGTGGTGGTTGTGTTGGTTATTAGTGGTGGTGGTAGTGGTGGTAGTGGTGGTTATTAGTGGTGGTGGTTGTAGTGGTGGTGGTGGTTATTAGTGGTGGTGGTTGTAGTAGCAGTGGCGGCCTGTCTCATGTTGTAATTTGCCGTGCGTGCATGTGTACGTGTGTGTACATGTGTGTACGTGTGTGTGTACGTGCATGTGTACGTGTGTGTGTGCGTGTGTGTGTGCGTGTGTGTGTGCGTGTGTGTGTACGTGTGTGTACGTGTGTGTACGTGTGTGTGTACATGCATGTGTACGTGCGTGTGTACGTGTGTGTACGTGTGTGTGCGTGTGTACGTGTGTGTGTGTGTGCGTGTGTACGTGTGTGTGCGTGCGTGTGCGTGCATGTTTGGCTGTGAAGAGGAGGAGGTGTATCCGGTGAACATGGGCGTCCTCATCGGAAAGATTCATCCAGGAATCCCGGTGCCTCCCGGCTTCAGGGACGACCGCCGGGGAAAGCTCAGGCCAGGTGTGGAACGTCACTCTGCGATGATGATGGTGGTGGTGGTGGTAACAATTTTCGAATGTAGAACTTGTAAAGTGTAAAGTTTTCGTTGACCCCCTTACAGAGAATGATCCGGAGGCGTGGAAAACCCACAGACAAGCAGAAAGGCGCCACCAATTTGGCGCCACCAATTGCCCAAGCTCTGCTGTCCTATGTTGGAATGTTCGGCCAACAATGACGATGCTCACAATACAGGTTGTTGGGTTACATCGCGCAAGTATGAATGTGCAGTAACCCTCCACCGTCCGGCACAGCCAATAAGGTTTGCAACGTAAACAAGGCGCCAATTAGTTACGACTTCAGCCCACCAGTGTGTTGGAGAGCAAATCCACAACATTTACAAATTGAATACGGCGTTTCGCTGGTAATTACCGTATTTTCCCGTATATAACCCGCTTATGCATATAACACGCAAAAATAGCGTTTTGTGTAAAACAAATTTCAGATAGCCCGCACCTCCATATACCCCGCATGCATTCATAGATTTAACGTCGTTACCGCAGCTTAATTCCATCATATTAATACGAAGTTTACATTTGTAATACATTCCACTATCAATTGTTAACATTAAAAACATAACGTGCACAACGAAAACAAACTAACCGGAAACGAGTGAACTTACAACAGTAAATAAGTAACAAAAGTAAATATACAATAAATAAGTAACACGTAACTGGTAGATAAGTAAAGTTTTAGCACTGGTAGATTGTGCACTGTGCAGACAATAACGGCACTACGGTGACGCCGTCGCCTCGCCCACAACCCCCCCACCTCTCTCCCCCCAGCTGCCCACCCCCCACCCCCACCTCTCTCCCCCCCAGCTACCCCACCCCCCACCTCTCCCTCCCCCCAGCTGCCCCACCCCCCACCCCCACCTCTCTCCCCCCCAGCTACCCCACCCCCCACCCCCCACCTCTCTCTCCCCCCCAGCTGCCCCACACCCCACCTCTCTCTCCCCCCCAGCTGCCCCACACCCCACCTCTCTCTCCCCCCAGCTGCCCCACACCCCACCCCCACCTCTCTCCCCCCCACCCCCCCACCCCCACCTCTCTCCCCCCCAGCTGCCCCACCCCCCACCCCCACCTCTCTCCCCCCAGCTGCCCCACCCCCCAACCCCCACCTCTCTCTCCCCCCCACCCCCCAACCCCCACCTCTCTCTCCCCCCAGCTGCCCCACCCCCCAACCCCCACCTCTCTCTCCCCCCAGCTGCCCCACCCCCCACCCCCCACCTCTCTCTCCCCCCCAGCTGCCCCACCCCCCACCCCCCACCTCTCTCTCCCCCCCAGCTGCCCCACACCCCACCTCTCTCTCCCCCCAGCTGCCCCTCCCCCCACCCCCCACCTCTCTCCCCAGCTCTTCGATCGCCGGTAAACAGTGCACGCACTTCAAACATTGTCGTTTAATTGTACAAACAATTAATTTAAAACGTGATCACACGTGCAACTTTAGTGCGAGTGGTTTATTCAGCAGTGCTTTAGTCAAAGCTAAGTGTTGCATAGTGGATAGTCCTACCATGAAAACATTTAAACGAGTCATGACATGTCACACGTGTAAAATATTTTTGGGATAACCCGCACCTCCATACACCCCGCAGGGTCTTGCTATGTTTGTAAAGAGTGGTATACCCCGCGGGTTATATGCGGGAAAATACGGTACATCCAGCATCATCGGGCGATTTGCCAGAACAGTGAAGCCATCCACCTGCTTCAGGTCTTAAATAGAGCAGCAGCAGCAGCAGGAAGACGTCATCACGGAACCCAATCAGGTGCAGAAATCAGAGGCGGAGGAGGGGGGGGGGTATTATAATTATATAATAGGTTAGTAATCGGTGAATTCCTACGTGGTTCCTCGATAAGGAATTGTAGGTATAATAAGTATTACTTAATAATACCTTTGAACTTGTCCTTCCTGTTTATTGTGTTTTTTTTTAAAGGACAAGTTCTAAGGGCTCGGATAATGCACAATGCATCATGCACGTTACCTCCGTAATCCCCCCCCCCCCCCATCATTGTGCAAGAGCGCATAAGTGTGGTCAACACATCTACTACGCCTCCATATGAGGAAGGAAACAGGGAGACTTCTCCACAAATCTGGCTGTCGCCTGATGAAGCTGGTTGTAGTTACTCGCGAAACGTCGTACTCAGATTGTAAATGTTGTGGCTTGGCTCTCCAACACACCGGTGTGCTGTACTTGTACACTACACTATACACTACACTACTATACACTACACTACACTACTATACACTACACTATACACTACATTATACACTACACTACTATACACTACATAATACACTACACTACTATACACTACATTATACACTACACTACTATACACTACACTATACACTACACTATACACTACACTACTATACACTACACTATACACTACATTATACACTACACTACTATACACTACACTATACACTACACTATACACTGCATTATACACTACACTATACACTACACTATACACTACACTACTATACACTACATTATACACTACACTACTATACACTACACTATACACTACACTATACACTGCATTATACACTACACTATACACTACTATACACTACACGCTAGTGCTGTACTCGTGACGAATTGGCCACGTTCTGTTTACGTGACAACCCTCACTAGTTGGCCGTGTCGGGTGGTGGCGGGTTTTAACGACACGTTTATTATGGATGACTTTAACCATCTGAAAGATTATTAGATGCCCTCCTGCGCCTCTGGTCCACCCATGAATGGGCAGTTACACGATCGGCAGGCCGCGTGTGGTGGGGTGAAATGTGGGTGCGCCCACCTCTTTTCCAACGCGTCTGAGCGGACCAAACGACATCTTAATTAGTTTTCGATTTAAAGCTTTGGTGACTGCAAGGATTCATCTTCTTTGGTTCTTTCGGTAAAGTCGGTAAAGGCAAGCGGCCGCTTGCGTTGTGGCCGAAACGTCGTGAGAATTTTATTGTGTTATTTTATTATTTTATTCTCATTCTACGTGACTTTACCGAGAGAACCAAAGAAGATCTTAATTATTTGGCTGCTATAAATTTCCACGCCGTGGCAAGCCACTTCGTCGCGCTGCCATTTGTGGCCAGGTCGCCGCTGAAAAAGAGCTACATCGCTCAGTGGGCCTCACCTGGTCAAATAGCGAAAATAATCGGTTAGTTTTATGGATGTTGGCCATCACGGCGTGATGAGCAAATCGCCCGGCCGCTTCACCGCCACGTCGCCGCCGCCGGGATCAACCCACGTTTGAAATCCGCGCTCTAGCTCCGGAGGGGCGGCCGCCCTCCTCGCGATCATCAGTCGCCTTCATCGTCAGCCGTGATCCATCCACTGCCGCCTGACGAAGGCCTTCGAACAAGCCGCCGCCGTCCCTCTCGTGCAAAGGTCCCGCCTAGCCACCTGCACACGGCTGCCCGGGCAGTTTAAAATGGCCGCCATCTCTCCGGCGGGAGGCACTTTGCCACCCCGCGGCGACGCGGGCGAGCTAATTGCAGGGCCGCCGTGCCTTTACCCCGACCTTTTTTTATTATTCACCTAACGCCCGCCCCCCCGGGGCCCCACCCCCCCCGCCCCGCGACAGTGACGTACCTGAACTACGGCCCCTACAGTGGGCAGCCGCCGCTGCCGCCGCCGCCGCCGCCGCCACAGCCCTACGGAGGCCCCCTCGCCGGCCTGCTCGACGGCGCGGCCTCCTCCTCCCAGCTGCTCTACTCCACGTACGGGGACGACGCCGGCGTGCAGTACGCGCTCAGGTGAGGCCTCGCCCAGGCCGCCTGCCGCGGGGTGCCGCGTTGGAGCGAGCACCGGGGGGAGCAGTGGCATCCCCGTCGCGGGGCAATGGTGAGCCGGGTTCTCAGTCGGATGAGCGTTCCAGGCGGACTGCGACCGTCAAAGGAATGGTGCCGCCCCCATAGCCGCCCCCATAGTCGCCCCCCCCCCCCCCCCGGTGATCCGTGGATCATAAAATCGCTCGAGACGCCGGTGTATGGCCGCGAAGAGCAATCAACGCGAACGCTGTGGCAAGGGGTTTGGCACGACGGTCCTTCGCTGGCTGTGCGCGATGAGCTAATGAATGTGCGGCACGTGTGCAGGCGTGCAGGCGTGCGTGCGCCCGTGTGCAGCCTACCGGTGTAGAGTGGGGAGCAGCAGCGTGGTGGTTAGCGCACTGCGCTACGAACCCGGCGAGTCGACTCTCGGTCACTGCCGAGATCGCTGACGGATGTCCGCACCGGTGCTGGGGCCTCTCCTCGGTCGACTCGGCCTTAAAACGATTGCCCGGTGCGATGTGTGTAAGCATCAGCATCGGGGAGACAAATGTGGCTGCACTTGCCCTGAAAGTCTGTTCAAGGCTATACGGTGGATCTTTGTCTTTGTACAGTCTGCAGGAGTTCGCCAAGGGCTGTGGGGAGTACGCGGCACGTGTGGTGGACGACCTTCTCGACGCCCTCACCAGCGGAGACCACTCGCGCACGCTGCGTCTGCTACACGAGGTCACGACCCCGCCCCAAGGGATTGTGGGAAAATTGGGAGTAGCGATTTTCTTTTTTCAAACGAACACGCGCGGTTATTTCTCCAGTCCACTCCAAATGCTGAAACATTCAAAAAATAAAAGTATTCTTCGCAAAACCGATGAAGAACTTTACCACCGTAAAATAAGTAAGCGGATAATATAGCTCCTTCACAGCATCTCTCTCTCTACACATCCCATCAGTCCCACGGCCTTCTGGGAGCGAATAATTCTAGGATCATTGAATCAGCGCAAGAAAACTCAGTGGCGGTTTTAACGTTTACTGCCTCGTCAGCAGGCTCAGACTCGTTTCAATCAATGCCGGTGAACTGCATGAGCGCTGACCAGTACGCGTAGTGCGAGGACCCATATCTAACAGGGAGGGTCCTTGCCTATAACTATAAACTATTTTTTTTATTTTACCAGGTAAGGCCCACTGAGCTGTATATTTATTTTTCAGACGCGACCTGGCTCTCACGAACGATAGCTCGACGAAGTGGCTCGTCATCACGTGACAATGTACAGCAGCCAAATACTCTGGACGCGTGACGTTGGTTTTAAATGTTGGAGGGAAAAACCGGAAGGCCCGCATGAAAAATTCACGCGACCACGGGGAGAGAGAGACACGCAAACTCCAATTATACAGCAGCAGCAGCAGGCATCGTCAGGGTCGGGATCGAACCCATGAACTCCTGTACACCAGGCGAGGTAGTTAACATCTCCTAGCCACCGTGATGATGATGATGAGAGAGAGACACCCAAACTCCAAATACACACCAGCAGCAGGCATCGTCAGGGTCGTGATCGAACCCACGACCTCCTGCACACCAGGCGAGGTAGTTAACATCTCCTAGCCACCGTGATGATGATGATGAGAGAGAGACACGCAAACTCCAAATATACAGCAGGCGTCAGGGTCATGATCGAACCCACGACTTCCTGCACACCAAGCGAGGTAGTTAACATCTCCTAGCCACCGTGATGATGATGAGAGAGAGACACGCAAACTCCAAATATACAACAGCAGGCATCGTCAGGGTCGGGATCGAACCCACGACTTCCTGCATACCAGGCGAGGTAGTTAACATCTCCTAGCCACCGTGGCGAACCCCGTGACCGCCAGACTCGGCCCGCGTCACCACCGCCCCTTAAATCTGAATTAGACGTAATTGCGAGAATGACCTCAGTTCAATTCAACCCTCATCACTTAATGGGGCGACTGCACACATTGGCTGCCGTTCGTCATCCCCTCGCTGTCGGGAGCGTCCTAATTAAGCGCGTAAGTGCCCTTCAGTGTTTCGGAACGTAAAACCATGATTGTCGGCTGTGGGGTATATTGACGGAGAAGGTGGCACTCTCAATTCGTCCGCCCCCTTGGCAAAGCGTTCCCTTCGGAATGTTTCTATACGGCACGCGACGCTGGAGTTACGCCGGGAGACAGAGGGGGGCTTGGGGGGGGGGGGGTAGCGCATGGGTGAGAGAACTTGCGCAGGTTCACACGGACGGAGTTCAAACCGTGACGAGAAGCAAAGTGGGCTTGGGAAGGACACGTTCGCGGCTATCTTGAATGCGTGGCAGCCAAGGAATGGAATGTGGCCGAAGGGGAGGGGGACGACCGGCTGGGGAGATGGAGCAATTGAAATCAGCTCGCTGAGTTCAGGCAGGCGCCGGATGGCTTGCCACATCGCAGAATCGCGAGGGATGGCGTGGGGAGGCCTGCATCCAGCAGTGGATTCAGCATGGCTGACAATGATGATGGGAGTGCGTCCCATTTAAACAAATGTGGCATGTTTAAACATTTAGATTGAAACACTTATTTTTTTGGAACTCCTTTGCGTGTGTTGATTTGCTGATGCTTCCCCTGCATCTACGATTAGCACAATTGGCTACGCACGGTGCGAAAGAAGTTCAACAAACACGTAAACATTTCAAAACAACTCCATCTGTGGTGAGGAGCAGACGATGCCTCCTCGCTCATCTGACCCCCCCCCCCCAGCGTCGTCCGTCAAGGCAGCCACGCACAGCCGACGACTTAAGCACCGGTGCCGGCTGCGATAGAAGCGAAAATGAATGCAATTTTCTTTGGTTAAGAGATCGTTCAAGCAAAAGGCACCCCGTGCAGTGAAGTTTTACATTTCTGAACAAACTCGTCTGTGTGATTTCCCGGCAGAGAGGGAGGGAGTGACACGTGACTGTGGTTTCACGTTCGTTCACTGTTAGGGTCAGAGTTCCTCACTCATTTTCAGAGGCGGGGGCGGGGGGTCACTTTCGCCGATAAGGACATCATCAGCCTGAGGGCCGCCACACATTTAAAACCACTGGGGTTTGGCAACACGATGATGATGATGATGGTGGGGGGTGTTTTCCCTTTTGTGTATCGTCAGGGGCCGCACACCAGAGGCCCGCACTAAAGGCCACCAGGGGCCGCCAGTGGCCTGCGGGCCTTGCGACGAAGAACGATGATTTAAATTAATCAAACGCTAACGTAGGGCCCATTTGAAATGCTTCACAACAGGAAGTCATTTGTCGCACACACACAGGGGGGGAAATTCCCGACACCCGGCTCGGTTAACGCTGCAACACCCTCCCCCTCACCGCCGCTGCAGGCTGCGGTTGTCAAAACAGCTGTGACAAAGGTCACTTGGGTGAGGTCAGAGGTCAGAGCCGCTGAGGCGGCACCGCTAAGACCCGGGGTCGGAATCCGGGTTTCAGCCACCTGTCCGCGATGTAAATATGTAGGCATGGGATCTCAAGTGCGGCGAGTTGACGGTCTCGGCTCGGTCCAGCCGGTGACTGCGCAGCAGCAACAAAAAACACCGTTAATTGAATACCGTTCTTCCCCATAGTTTGGCAAAATTTCTGCTCCGCGAGTGAAGAAAAAATCGGATTCTTTGTCATGCGACGAAAGTTACCCTCGGTGGGAAAGTGCTGCCCTTCGCCGAGTGGAGTGGAGAGATCACCTGAAGGTGTTTCAGAGGTAGCTCTGCAGTGTCCGCTTCTGCGGGCTGTTCTCTGGCACCGTGGGTTTTGCTGCTCTGTAGCAGATGCTGATGGATTTTTGTTTTCCGGCCCATGACATGACGCGGATGGCGGGATTGTGATGAAAAAAAAAAAATTCAGAAAATATTTCAATGCAAATGTTTACATGTAACAATAATAATTTTAACAGTTGGAAAAAGTCGAACAAAGACACCTATGAAATGCCGCTCCATTGGCTGGCGCAGTCAACAGAACGCCGAGATGTCAAGCTGATTATAATTTCCGAACAAATTGGAATTTGTAACGAGCACAGGTTTCATTCCCTCCCCGCAGATTCCCACGCTGCCGTCACAGAAGCAGCAGCAGAAGGAGAAAGTGGAACAGGTCATCGTCGCTGCCCTGGCAGAAGAAACGCAGGTAAGACGCCACCGCTGTCACCAGCAAAGACAAAAACACGCATACCCCCCCCCCCCCCCCGTGCCGTATGGCCCACACAGACTGTAGGGACAAGTGCTGTTAGCGAGCAGCACCTGTGAAGGCTGGCATGGGCACACGAGGGGTTGGGTGGCCCGGCCGCCTTTGTCTCCCCAGTGGTGACGCTTACACACCGCGCCAGCTACTAATTTTGAGTCCTCATTAATCCAGGGGAGGGTTGCTTCAGATATTGATGCTAGCCATAGCCGGGAATCTAACCCGGGGTCGGTTGAGGCTGCCTGTCAATCGACTCGGCGGAGCTGCCCTGGTGCAACGGTCGGCTTACTGGACCTGCGATTCGGAGGTGTCGCCCGGCTCCAACTCGAATTTGTAACGAGCACAAAGTAGGGGGGGGGGGGGCAAAGTTTCTTAAAATCCCCCCAGCAACGGAACTCTGTCCACCCAGCAGCAGCACGAATGGGGTCACCGCCACTATCGCCTCTTTTCAGAACATAGATGGACTCGTCCTTCTAAACAAACTGTCAAATCGCTATCCGTGGTGCCAACGTTGTTTAAAAATAAATAAGTACAAAAAACCGTTTGAAAATAAATTAATAGAAGCAACGTTTGCAAATAAATAAATACAAACCGCCACTTCTTTCAAATGCTTCTTGCCGTTGGTTTTTTCACACCTGATGATGACTGTTTGTGTTGCAGTCGAAACGCCGTGAGAATTTTTATTGTTTTATATACATCTTGTTATTTTATTGTTTCCCTTCAACGTGACTTTACCGAAAGAACCAAGAACATAATATACTATCACCACAGTCAAATCAGTCGGCAGGTCGCGCGTGGTGGAGTGTCAAGTGTGGCTACGCCCACCGGCCGGCTGGCAGAACGCACCGCGTCACCTTGGGAGAGTAGCACCGGATACAATCTGTGGAGCTTCGCTGTGGTGGGCAAGGGCCCCTTTCCGTCAGCGGCGGCACGAGAAGGGCAATTGCCCGGGGCTGCGCCTCTTTGCTTTCATCGAATGGTGGACCTGCCGGCTTGGGTACAGGCGCGGGGCCGCCGCACTAACCCCCGGGTTACTTGCCCCGACCGCTTGTTGTGCAGATCAAGGCCGACCCGGGCGTCAGAAAGGTCTGCCAGCCGAGCGCCGTTGATTTTGCATCGTTTGAACTCTCGCCGCTTGAACCGTTTGGTAAGAGGACGTTGCGCGCACTGTCACACTTCCGATTGGCACCGCTGGCCAGGTGCGGTGCGAAAGAAGTTCAACATGCATACACACATAGCGGAATTGCATCTACGGCAGGTATCAGAGTGGCAGAACGTAATGATTTTGTTTCATAATCATAATCAGCCACGATTATCCATGATCAATCTACTGCTGGCTGGACGTCACAGTGGTGAGATGTTAACTACTTCGCCTGGTATACAGGACTTCGTGGGTTCGATCCCAACCCTGACGCCTGCTGCTGTATATTTGGAGTTTGCGTGTCTCTCTCATCATCATCATCATCATCACGGTGGCTAGGAGATGTTAACTACCTCGCCTGGTATGCAGGAGGTCGTGGGTTCGATCCCAACCCTGACGCCTGCTGCTGTATATTTGGAGTTTGCGTGTCTCTCTCCCCGTGGTCGCGTCGATTTTTCTCCGGGTCCTCCGGTTTTTCCCTCCGCATTTAGAAAAGTGCCTCTGTAAATTTCCACATGATGACAAGCCACTTCGTTGAGCTTATCATTCATGGCCGGGTCACTTCTGAAAAAGAGCCATATTGCTCAGTGGGCCTTACTTGGTAAAATATAAAATAGTTTTACATTTCGGATGAAGGTTTCAGGATGTTGGCTATCACAGCGTGAAAGACAAACCACTCGGCCACTTCACCGCCACGTCGCCACCGTCTGGTCCAACCCAGATTTGAATTCCGCATTCCAGCTCCGACCACGGCGGAGGGGCGGCCGCCCTCCTCGCGATCATCGTCATCTTCATCGTCAGCCATGATCTATCCACTGCTGCCTGAAGAAGGTCTCCTACAAGCCGCCGCCGCCGCTGTGTGTCATGTAACGGTCCACCTACCCGCCTGCACACAGGCTGATTTAATTGCTCCATCTCCGCGGTGAACGTCCTAGTTGGCGGATTTCCTAATTTCTTCTCGTGTGAGCATTTAACACATGCGTGTGTGTGAGCGCGTGTGTGTGTTGCGGGGAGCGGTGGTGTAGCGATTAGCGCACTGCACAATGAACACGGCCACCCGGGTTCGATTCCCGCTCATGGCCAACACCAGTGACGATCATCTGAAACAGGTCCTGGGCCTCCCCTAGGTCGACTCAGCCTCAAATGAGTACCTGGTGTGGTGTACAAACATTGCCACTGGGACGATAAAGGCAGCCGGGCGTGGTGCTGACCACCCAACCCCTCGTGTGCCGTGGCAGCCTTCCTTCATATGTGCTCGCAAACAGCACTTGCCCTAAAAGTCTGTTAAGGCTATACGGGAAATCTTTGTCTTTGATATGTTGGACGTGTGTGTGTGTGTGTTTACTCGGCCGCGTGTTTAGGTTCACGATTGCGTGCGTTGGGACCCCGCTATGTCACAGCGCATTTTGACACTTTTTTTTTTAGGCAAGGAGAAGGCTGAAGGGAGCCAACAGGCCAGGCCAACGTCCGCCATCTTGCAGGAGCCGCAGATGCCTGGGGCCAACCACGGTGAGGCCTTGTCACCACATTTATCATCAGCCATGATCAATCCACTGCTGGAAGAAGGACTCTTCAAGCCGTCGCCGTCTCTCACAGTCGCACGATATAATATTCAATCCGTCCAGTACCTGCGAGCGAGCTGATTTTATCGCTCCATCTCCACGGCGGCCATGCTCTTGAGAATGCTTCCTCCTTTGGCTGCCGCTCTATCTATCGGCAGTCTTCACCACCGGCAAATCATCCCTCCTTGCCACGTGTCCCAGCCCAAGTCCGCTTACTTTTCTAACGGCTCATATGTTTGTCTTGTAACAGTCCGTTTGATGCGTACGTCCTGCGAACCATTGTGTTCCTCTCTCTCTGTGTCTGTTGATGTAATTTACAAGCGTGCACCTCTCGTGTAAATTCCCTCCCCTGCCAGCTAAACATTTTTTAATTTCGATTTAAAGCTTTCGTGACTGCAGCGATTCAAATTCTTGGTTCTTTCGGTAAAGTCAGGTAGAAGGGAAATAATAAAATAATAAAAACAAAGCATAAGAAAATTCTAGCGACGTTTCAGCCACAACGAGGACGGCTGCTTGCGTTGTGGCCGAAACGTCGTGAGAATTTTATTTAATTGTGTTTTATTTTCATTATTTTATTATTTCCCTTCTATGTGACCTTACCGAAAGAACCCTGAATATATTTTTGAATTCATGACTGTGGGAAGCCGCCCAGAGTGCCTGGAGAATGCAGTATCTTTGTCCATCTCTCGATTCTTAAAATATGTGCCCGTATAAACATAGTGTTTTATTCCTAATATCTGCCTGCAACGTGGAGTCGTGATAACTTGTGGAAATACGACCCGACATGAACCCAATTTTGGTGTGAAGTTGTCAGTTGCTATTCGGGACTCGCCCGAAGAAACCGGCCGCGTTGAGCGAACGCGACCCCTAAACACCTTCGCGTCCGAGGCCGTGACATCGTTACGCGTGATGCCATCCCGTCGTGCAGCTTCCAACGTGACGTCATTGTCGCTCATTCAGCGACAATGACGTCATGTTGGAACGCGGCCGCGTGATCCACGGGCACGCGGAAATGCTTCTTCATTGTTCCGCCGGTTGTTGCCTTTATTTATTGGCCGATCGTTTTCTCTCGGAAGCGGTGGACCGCTTCGTTCGTCGCCTTAATCATTTCGCCGAGCGTTACGCTCGCTCGATTTGACCGGGTTAGCGGTGGCCTCCCCTCGCCCGCCCGCCAGGCGACGGCCCGGCCACGGGCCTCGCCGCCGCCCCCGCCGCCGCCGCCGTGGCCGCGGGCGACGTGGCTCCCAAGGCGACGACGACGATGATGGTGGTCGCCATGTCGGCTGCCGGCACCGGGGTCCGGCCGTGCCCCGAGGAGGTGCCACCCCCGAGCCTCGTGCCCCCACCACCGCCTCCGCCGCCGCCACCTCTCTCTCCCTCGCTCGGTGGGTGGGTATGAGTGGGCATAGGTGGCTGCACATGGGAGTGGGTGGGTATGGTTGGGCATGTATGGATTGAAGTCAGTGACCGCAACGACGACGTGGCAGTGAAGCGGCTGAGTGATTTGTCTATCGCGCTGTGACAGCCAACGCAAGGGGAAGCCCCCAGGACATTGAGGGCTTCAGGGCCAAGTTCCGCTACCCCTCCCGGGCGCGCGTGGGTGAGCCTGAGTGTGTGAGCCTGAGTGCGTGAGCCTGAATGCGTGAGCCTGAGTGTCGTGAGCCTGAGCACCGTGAGCCTGCATGTGTGAGCCTGAGTGTCGTGAGCCTGAGTGTCGTGAGCCTGAGTGTCGTGAGCCTGAGTGTCGTGAGCCTGAGTGTCGTGAGCCTGAGTGTCGTGAGCCTGAGTGTCGTGAGCCTGCATGTGTGAGCCTGAGTGTGTGCATTTGTGCCCGGCTGCTGAATCGCTGCCCCTTGCTGCTCTCTGACAGCTCATTCTGCCTCTGTCGTCACTGCCTTGAAACCCCTGACCTCTGATTTTGGGTGGATCGCTGGGTATGGGTGTGGGGGGGTACGGGTGGCTGCATATGGGAGGGGGTGGGTACGGTTGGGTATTTATGGCTGGGTGGGTATGGGTTGGTGGATATATCTGAGTGAATGGGTGGGTATGGGTGGCTATGGGTATGTTTGGGTGGGTGGGTATGGGTGGGTGGGTATGGGTGAGTATGTTTGGGTGGGTGGATGGGTATGGGTGGGTGGGTGGATGGGTATGAGTGTGAGGGGTGTAACACTAAATTCCCGTACAGATAAACGTATTGATCAACGTGCCGTACCCTGGCCATGAGCCAAAGGGATGGCAGCCTGGATGCCCACAGGTGGAGAGGGAGCTTCAGGAATGCGCGTGATCCCCAAACCCTCGCCTCCCAAGTGCGAGGGTTCGTGGATCGCACGAATCTGTGCAGCTCACCACCCACCTCCTGGCCTGCCGCGATTTGGCAGCACAGCAAGTGGATTGTACGCCATCTGTACGGGGTATTAGCGGTTACCCCCCACTCCCTCGCGCACTTGGGTGTTCCCCGTGTACTCGGGTTTACTGCCCGCATAATATAGGACCGCAAAGCTCGGGCAATTGTTAAGCCCCGGTTCTGGCCGCCTTCCCGCTGGTCTGTGGTTTCCCGCGCCTCGTAATCCTTTCAGCTTTTCCCGCAATTTCTCCGTTCTCGTCGCGTCTCAAACGGCGCGATCGCCACGACCGGGACAACGCTGAATGCGACTGGCGAGGAGGACGGACAGACAAACGTCGCGGTCATAAAATACGAAGCCAGTGCGTAAATCTAAAAACAAAAACCCGCAATTGGTGCGACCCCCGCGTCTGCCCGGGCAGGGTCGCCGTCGCAGCTGAGCGCCAACGAGGTGGAAGATGACGAGATCGACCGGGAGCTGCGCGAGTTCCTCCAGTCCCCGGGCTCCGACAGCGCCGCGTCGTAGCGGCACCACGCGGGCGGGCGCCGGCGGCCGGCGCTGTGATGTCGTCCCCCTCCCCACCCTTCCCCCCCAAGTCTGCTGCCCGTTCGTGAGGACACGCGACGTCAATGGGGTCACGGGCCGGAGGACATCGGGTGGAATCGAAGCGAGCGCCCGTTGGCGATGGCTGTGTCGAGCGACGCTGGTTGGATCGTAACGGGCGACGCTGGTTGGATCGTAGCGGGCGACGCTGGTTGGATCGTAGCGGGCGACGCTGGTTGGATCGTAGTGGGCGACGCTGATTGGATCGTAGCGGGCGACGTTGGTTGGATCATAGCGGGCGACGCTGATTGGATAGCAGCGGGCGACGCTGATTGGATTGTAGCGGGCGACGCTGATTGGATCGTAGCGGGCGACGCTGGTTGGATAGTAGCGGGCGACGCTGATTGGATAGCAGCGGGCGACGCTGATTGGATCGTAGCGGGCGACGCTGATTGGAAAGCAGCAGCGGGCGACGCTGATTGGATCGCAGCGGGCGACGCTGATTGGATCGTAGCGGGCGACGCTGATTGGATCGTAGCGGGCGACGCTGATTGGATCGTAGCGGGCGACGCTGATTGGATCGTAGCGGGTGACGCTGATTGGATCGCAGCGGGCGACGCTGATTGGATCGTAGCGGGCGACGCTGATTGGATCGTAGCGGGCGACGTTGATTGGATCGTAGCGTGCGACGCTGATTGGATCGTAGCGGGCGACGCTGATTGGATAGCAGCGGGCGACGCTGGTTGGATCGTAGTGCTGAGCATTAACGGGATCCTAGCATGCGACGCTGATGAGATGCATTTTCCGGGGCGTCTCAACCAAGGCCTGCCCGGCTCAGCGACCCGGCATGCAATGTCCAGTATCGCTCGTGCTGTAGCTGAGGCTTCTCTTCTGCATTGTACCGGCGAGCCGTAACATATCTCAACAGCATCGACCTGGAAGACGTCCGGCGAGAAATGTAAGTCCCCGGCGTCGCTTACGACGAGCGAGGGCGAGAGGTTTCCGTCTGGGAAATGGAACGCGTCGTGGGACGTGCTTTTGACTCCACTGGTGGCTCAGGGACAACGTGACGGTGGGGGGGGTGGGGGGGTTGGGACAGTACAGCAAGAAGGTTGTCAACTTCTTCGAATCGCAGAAGTTTGAGTGGCTCACCTCGTTACGTGTCTGGAGGTTTCTTTTTTTTTTCCCCCGGGAACTCCGCCCACGCGCGGCAAAACAAAACCCGTCCATATCTGCCGAATTATTCATTTATTTTCATCTCAGCATCAGCAAAGAGCAAGACCCTCCTCTGAATGGGTCTTGAGACTCGGCGAAGCTTCCCTGGGTGAATGGCAAATTCTTCTTCTCCTTATTATTATTACTACTGTGATTGCTGTGAAGCTTGAGAGTGCACAAGGAAGCGTGGAGGGGTGCACGACGAGTGGACACGGGCTGGGATGACAGCAAGAGGAGCACTCGGATTAGCAGAACGTAACCGCACAGCGAAACGCTTCAACGTCGACTGTTCATAAACGTTACCGCGGCTTGGGCACGACGCGTCGCTGGACGGGGAACTTCACGGCCGGCGGTGGAGACCAACGACGGGAGTGGCAGCAGCCGAAGGAGGGCGCACGCACGCGCCCGAGAGAGCGCATCCGCCGCGGAGACGGAGCGATGAAATCCGCGCGTGTGCAGGCGCTAGGTGGATTGCAACGCCGCGGACCGTGAGAGGAGGGGGGGGGGGGAGGGGCTTGCGGGGAACCTTCAGCGGGGGATCGATCGTGGCCGACGATGGCGGTGACTACGACGATCTCGAGGAGGGCCCCTGGCCCTTCTGCCACGGCGGGAGCCGGAAGGCGGGACGCAGATCCGGGGTTGAATCCGACGACGACGTGGCAGTGAAGCGGCCGAGTGATTTGTCTATCGCGCTGTGACAGCCAACGCAAGGGGAAGCCCCCAGGACATTGAGGGCTTCAGGGCCAAGTTCCGCTACCCCTCCCGGGCGCGCGTGGGTGAGCCTGAGTGTGTGAGCCTGAGTGCGTGAGCCTGAGTGAGTGAGCCTGAGTGTCGTGAGCCTGTGTGTGTGAGCCTGTGTGTGTGAGCCTGTGTGTGTGAGCCTGAGTGTCGTGAGCCTGAGTGTCGTGAGCCTGAGTGTCGTGAGCCTGAGTGAGTGAGCCTGAGTGCCCTGAGCCTGAGTGCCGTGCGTTCGTGCTTGGCCGCTGAAAATTCCTGCCCCTTGCTGCTCTCTGACAGCTTATTCTGCCTCTGTCTTCAATGCCCTGAAACCCCTGAACGTTTATTTTGGGTGGATCGGTGGGTATGGGTGTGACAGCTCATTCTGCCCTGAAACCCCTGACCTTTGATGTTTGACGTTCAGCGTCTGACACACGCGCAGGACCGTGATCAGGGCCGCCCCCCCCCCACAGCTTCCTGGGGGCCCGGGGCAGGATGCCACGTGGGGCGGCCCTAATTTCACAATCTGCAAGCCCTCTTTCGCGCGAAGCCTGTGGAAAAAAATCCCCCCTTTTACCCCCCCCCCCCCGTGTCAGCGGAAACGCTGAGCTCTGTTGGAGGAATTACCCTTTTGCACTTGGTCGTGGGAAACCGAAAGTATTCATTTGTTCCTGTAAGTCTGTTGCAGAATAGATTTGAATAAAAAGTCCCCACTGAAGCACAGGATACAACAAAGTATGGCACGATGCAGAGCGGACCGATGCGGCGTGTAGATGCGACCGCAGTCTCGAGCATGCGGACCTCTTTTTAGAACCCACAAACATTTGGCGGACCACTACCACATGCTATGACTAGTTATTTGAAATTGTACATTTTGTTGGTGAGGTTTGTGATTATTTTTCTTTGACGCAGACCCCCCCCCCCCCATGTAGTCGACTCGTGAGTCACCAGGGGTCTGCGGACCACAGGTTGGGTTCTCAGAGTGCGGTCCTCACTACCGCCGCACTCTGAGAACCACTGCTCTAGAGTAGCGGTCCCCAGAACGTGGCAGTATTGAGGACCACACTCTGAGAACCACTGCTCTAGAGTAGCGGTTCTCAGAACTTAGCAGTAATAGGGACCACACTCTGAGAACCGCTACTCTAGAGTAGCGGTTCTCAGAACTTAGCAGTAATAGGGACCACACTCTGAGAACCACTGCTCTAGAGTAGCGGTCCTCAGAACGTGGCAGTAACGGGGACCGCACTCCGAGAACCACTGCTCTAGAGTAGCGGTCCCCAGAACGTGGCAGTAACGGGGACCACACTCTGAGAACCACTGCTCTAGAGTAGCGGTCCTCAGAACGTGGCAGTAACGGGGACCGCACTCTGAGAACCGCTGCTCTAGAGTAGCGGTCCCCAGAACGTGGCGGTAACGGGGACCACACTCTGACAACCGCTGCTCTAGAGTAGCGGTTCTTAGAACTTGGCAGTATTGAGGACCACACTCTGAGAACCACTGCTCTAGAGTAGCGGTTCTCAGAACGTGGCAGTAACGGGGACCGCACTCTGAGAACCACTGCTCTAGAGTAGCGGTCCCCAGAACGTGGCAGTATTGAGGACCACACTCTGAGAACCACTGCTCTAGAGTAGCGGTCCTCAGAACGTGGCAGTAACGGGGACCGCACTCTGAGAACCACTGCTCTAGAGTAGCGGTCCCCAGAACGTGGCAGTAATGGGGACCACACTCTGAGAACCACTGCTCTAGAGTAGCGGTTCTCAGAACGTGGCAGTAACGGGGACCGCACTCTGAGAACCACTGCTCTAGAGTAGCGGTCCCCAGAACGTGGCAGTATTGAGGACCACACTCTAAGAACCACTGCTCTAGAGTAGCGGTCCTCAGAACGTGGCAGTAACGGGGACCGCACTCTGAGAACCGCTGCTCTAGAGTAGCGGTCCCCAGAACGTGGGCAGTAACGGGGACCACACTCTGACAACCGCTGCTCTAGAGTAGCGGTTCTTAGAACTTGGCAGTATTGAGGACCACACTCTGAGAACCACTGCTGTAGAGTAGCGGTTCTCAGAACGTGGCAGTAACGGGGACCGCACTCTGAGAACCACTGCTCTAGAGTAGCGGTCCTCAGAACGTGGCAGTAACGGGGACCACACTCTGAGAACCACTGCTCTAGAGTAGCGGTCCTCAGAACGTGGCAGTAACGGGGACCGCACTCTGAGAACCGCTGCTCTAGAGTAGCGGTCCCCAGAACGTGGCAGTAACGGGGACCACACTCTGACAACCGCTGCTCTAGAGTAGCGGTTCTTAGAACTTGGCAGTATTGAGGACCACACTCTGAGAACCACTGCTCTAGAGTAGCGGTTCTCAGAACGTGGCAGTAACGGGGACCGCACTCTGAGAACCACTGCTCTAGAGTAGCGGTCCTCAGAACGTGGCAGTAACGGGGATCACACTCTGAGAACCACTGCTCTAGAGTAGCGGTCCCCAGAACGTGGCAGTAACGGGGACCACACTCTGAGAACCACTGCTCTAGAGTAGCGGTCCTCAGAACGTGGCAGTAACGGGGACCGCACTCTGAGAACCGCTGCTCTAGAGTAGCGGTCCTCAGAACGTGGCAGTAATGGGGACCACACTCTGAGAACCACTGCTCTAGAGTAGCGGTCCTCAGAACGTGGCAGTAACGGGGACCACACTCTGAGAACCGCTGCTCTAGAGTAGCGGTCCTCAGAACGTGGCAGTAACGGGGACCGCACTCTGAGAACCACTGCTCTAGAGTAGCGGTCCCCAGAACGTGGCAGTAACGGGGACCACACTCTGAGAACCGCTGTTCTAGAGTAGCGGTCCTCAGAACGTGGCAGTAACGGGGACCACACTCTGAGAACCACTGCTCTAGAGTAGCGGTCCTCAGAACGTGGCAGTAACGGGGACCGCACTCTGAGAACCGCTGCTCTAGAGTAGCGGTCCCCAGAACGTGGCAGTAATGGGGACCACACTCTGACAACCGCTGCTCTAGAGTAGCGGTTCTTAGAACTTGGCAGTATTGAGGACCACACTCTGAGAACCACTGCTCTAGAGTAGCGGTTCTCAGAACGTGGCAGTAACGGGGACCGCACTCTGAGAACCACTGCTCTAGAGTAGCGGTCCCCAGAACGTGGCAGTATTGAGGACCACACTCTGAGAACCACTGCTCTAGAGTAGCGGTCCTCAGAACGTGGCAGTAACGGGGACCGCACTCTGAGAACCGCTGCTCTAGAGTAGCGGTCCCCAGAACGTGGCAGTAACGGGGACCACACTCTGACAACCGCTGCTCTAGAGTAGCGGTTCTTAGAACTTGGCAGTATTGAGGACCACACTCTGAGAACCACTGCTCTAGAGTAGCGGTTCTCAGAACGTGGCAGTAACGGGGACCGCACTCTGAGAACCACTGCTCTAGAGTAGCGGTCCTCAGAACGTGGCAGTAACGGGGACCACACTCTGAGAACCACTGCTCTAGAGTAGCGGTCCTCAGAACGTGGCAGTAACGGGGACCGCACTCTGAGAACCGCTGCTCTAGAGTAGCGGTCCCCAGAACGTGGCAGTAACGGGGACCACACTCTGACAACCGCTGCTCTAGAGTAGCGGTTCTTAGAACTTGGCAGTATTGAGGACCACACTCTGAGAACCACTGCTCTAGAGTAGCGGTTCTCAGAACGTGGCAGTAACGGGGACCGCACTCTGAGAACCACTGCTCTAGAGTAGCGGTCCTCAGAACGTGGCAGTAACGGGGATCACACTCTGAGAACCACTGCTCTAGAGTAGCGGTCCCCAGAACGTGGCAGTAACGGGGACCACACTCTGAGAACCACTGCTCTAGAGTAGCGGTCCTCAGAACGTGGCAGTAACGGGGACCGCACTCTGAGAACCGCTGCTCTAGAGTAGCGGTCCTCAGAACGTGGCAGTAACGGGGACCACACTCTGAGAACCACTGCTCTAGAGTAGCGGTCCTCAGAACGTGGCAGTAACGGGGACCACACTCTGAGAACCGCTGCTCTAAAGTAGCGGTCCTCAGAACGTGGCAGTAACGGGGACCGCACTCTGAGAACCACTGCTCTAGAGTAGCGGTCCCCAGAACGTGGCAGTAACGGGGACCACACTCTGAGAACCGCTGCTCTAGAGTAGCGGTCCTCAGAACGTGGCAGTAACGGGGACCACACTCTGAGAACCACTGCTCTAGAGTAGCGGTCCTCAGAATGTGGGAGTAACGGGGACCGCACTCTGAGAACCGCTGCTCTAGAGTAGCGGTCCTCAGAACTTCGCAGTAACGGGGACCACACCCTGAGAACCGCTGCTCTAGAGTAGCGGTCCTCAGAACGTGGGAGTAACGGGGACCGCACTCTGAGAACCGCTGCTCTAGAGTAGCGGTCCTCAGAACTTCGCAGTAACGGGGACCACACTCTGAGAACCACTGCTCTAGAGTAGCGGTCCTCAGAACTTCGCAGTAACGGGGACCACACTCTGAGAACCGCTGCTCTAGAGTAGCGGTCCTCAGAACGTGGCAGTAACGGGGACCGCACTCTGAGAACCACTGCTCTAGAGTAGCGGTCCCCAGAACGTGGCAGTAACGGGGACCACACTCTGAGAACCGCTGCTCTAGAGTAGCGGTCCTCAGAACGTGGCAGTAACGGGGACCATACTCTGAGAACCACTGCTCTAGAGTAGCGGTCCTCAGAACGTGGGAGTAACGGGGACCGCACTCTGAGAACCGCTGCTCTAGAGTAGCGGTCCTCAGAACTTCGCAGTAACGGGGACCACACCCTGAGAACCGCTGCTCTAGAGTAGCGGTCCTCAGAACGTGGGAGTAACGGGGACCGCACTCTGAGAACCGCTGCTCTAGAGTAGCGGTCCTCAGAACGTGGGAGTAACGGGGACCGCACTCTGAGAACCGCTGCTCTAGAGTAGCGGTCCTCAGAACTTCGCAGTAACGGGGACCACACTCTGAGAACCACTGCTCTAGAGTAGCGGTCCTCAGAACTTCGCAGTAACGGGGACCACACTCTGACAACCGCTGCTCTAGAGTAGCGGTCCCCAGAACTTGGCAGTAACGGGGACCACACTCTGACAACCACTGCTCTAGAGTAGCGGTTGTCAGAGTGTGGCAGTAATGAGGACCACACTCTGAGAACCGCTGCTCTAGAGTAGTGGTTCTCAGAACTTGGCAGTAACGGGGACCACACTCTGAGAACCGCTGCTCTAGAGCAGTGGTTGTCAGAGTGTGGTCCCCGCTACCACCGGTGGTCCGTGACGATCCTCCAGGTGGCCCGCGTGGCTGTGATGCAAATTCAGGTTGACCTGGACAATAATGACAGCGTTTATACCTTTTATTCCAGAAATTAATATTTGTACTCATAATATTTAATACAAAATTTAGGTCAGGTAAACTACCCCAACTCTAAGATCTAAATGGCCCACCCACCCCCTCACCCCCCCCCCCCCCCAAAAACAAACCTGACGGCTTCGTAAAAAATATGTATATATAATGTTCCGGTAATTCGATTTTTTTATATATATATATATTTCTGGCATTTAGAGAGAAGTGAATGCGTTTTGTTACCAGGGGTAGTAGTAGGGAGGGTGGGGGGGGGGGGTGCTGGGCTGGGTGGTCCGCGGAAATGTTCACATTGGCTCAGCGGTCCACGGGCCAGCAAAGTTTGCGAAACACCGCTCTGGAGAGGAACAGCCGGCGCATTCGCCACGGCGCTCGCCACGCGTGGTCCCGCCTCGACGTCCGACGTTCCGGGCCACCCCGCGTTGCTGGGAGCTTCTCCGGCGTGGCTCTGCTGAAGAAGCTCCCGGCGGCACGGGGCGAGGCCGTCGGGCCCCAACGAACGGCGAGCGGCGGCGCGACCCCAGCAACAAGAACGACAACGACGAGGACGACAACGTCGGGCAGCTCGCGGAGGAGAGATGTTTGTTTTATGTGAGGGGGAGGGGGAAAGACGGCGAGGTTAAAGTTGACGAGGAAGTGAAACTAAGATGAGCGCCTTCACGTGATGTCACGTGTCCGTTCATGCTGAGAGTGCCGTATTTTCGTGTTTTTAATGTTTACATGAGAGGGGGCGGGGGGGGGTGGGTACGCGACGAGATGAATCCGCGGGTTCAATGCACCGCTCACTTTTTTTTACGTGAATTTTACCCCCAAAAACCGTGCTACTCTCTCTCTCTTAATTCTCGCTTTGCTCGGTGCCGCTACTCAACTGTGCCGCCTTTCTTTCCCCACGTTCATCGTGAAAATATACGGAGACGTTCTGCGTATATTGTATCGCGATTGTCCTGTGGATAGACTAGTCCGCGCCATAGGAATGAGGAATGTCCTAACACCGCTGGCTCAGGACCTCCGATGGAAATTGAGCACCGCCCAACGTTCACTTGCGCATGGAAACACTAAAACCTGTTTAAAAATTTAAAAAAATTATGTGAACGTATAAATATATATGCACAAGCTCACGCACTGGGGATGCGGCTGTAGCCTGGTGGTTGGCGCACGTTGGGCTTGTGATCCAGAAGTCGCCGATTCAGTTCAAGCCCTCGGCGCGGCGATGGGGCACGTTTCTGAAATCCTCCGCCGCCACTTCTGCCGACCCCGCGGTGCGAATGGATTCAACGCAAGTCAGTCGATCGCCAGGCCTCCGTGTGGTGGGGTGAAGTAGGCTAAATTACCCGCGGGAAAGGGGCCCTGTAGGGCTTCTTCTTGTGGCGGTCGCTAACGCCAGCGGTGGCGTGGGCAAGAAATTGCAGGGCTGTGCCTTTACCCTTTTACATACGCTGTAAAAATGCACACGTGCGAAGCTCATGGCAGTGGGATGGAATTACAGCCTCGCATACGCTTAAGCCACTCGTGGCTTAATTTTCCTTTACAACAACAAAAGTTTCTTCGTCTTCGTCCCATGTGCTTATCAGTGTCACGTCTTCGCCGAACTGCCCGTGGAAGCAGATATCACGGAGCCGATCCTGAGTTCCCATGAGCGGAGACGCTGGACTCCCGTGTGCTCTTCCATGCAGTTAAGTTGAATGCATTGCAGTCAAACTGAAAGTTTTGATTGTTGAATTGTTCTGCTGTTGCCAAATTACTTGAAAATCAAATGTGATGATGCACGTGCAGTCAGTCGTTAGTGACTGGGCTGAGACCATCAATTCGCTACACTGTAGATCCCGGTTTAACTTTTTGGTGGCCAACCGACCAAGCAGATCGCAATAGGAAGGTTGCGAGTTCAAATCCTGGTTTGGGTGGGGTTGACTCAGCCCACCATCATTATCCCTCCCTCCGGGTCAATAAAGTGAGAACCACTTTGCGGGGGAAGTCAACAGCGGTTTTACTAGAGAGAGACTCGCCCCCCCCCCCTTCCATAGCAATGTGGAATTTCCACCACTGGCTCAGGGCTGGAAACAGGAGATGAGTATTGCCCCAATACTCATTTGAGCAGGAAAGCACTTTTGACTGGTCGATTTTGGGTGGCCAATACCCGGATTCGAACCGAGGTTCTCGGCGATGTTGGCTCGGCGTCTTTGACCTGAGCCACTCGCCCACCTGACAGTCACTCGGGTTACTGTGTTGTTGATGAACATGTGACTTACAACGTGAAAACATGAATACGGGCTTTCTGAATAACCATAACTTGATGGTAAATTCTACTGCTTAAGGTCACGGGTAAATAGGTGGTCACGACACGCAGGGAAGGTTTGGTTACAGGGCTTCCCAGAGGTTTCTGAAGGCCCTGGGACAGGATCCCACGTGGTGGCCCTCTTGTTCCTGGAGGCCTGGGACAGGGTGCCACGTGGTGGCCCTCTTGTTCCTGGAGGCCTAGGACAGGATCCCACGTGGTGGCCCTCTTGTTCCTGGAGGCCTAGGACAGGATCCCACGTGGTGGCCCTCTTGTTCCTGGAGGCCTAGGACAGGATGCCACGTGGTGGCCCTCTTGTTCCTGGAGGCCTGTGACAGGATCCCACGTGGTGGCCCTCTTGTTCCTGGAGGCCTGTGACAGGGTGCCACGTGGTTGCCCTCTTGTTCCTGGAGGCCTGTGACAGGGTGCCACGTGGTGGCCCTCTTGTTCCACCATCCACAGGCCCCGTTGTGAGGCCCTCATTTGTATGATGTCCCTGGGAAAATTTGCGCCTTTGTCCCCCCCCCCTCTCCTTTGGGCAGCCGTAAGTTGGTGGACCGCAAAGAGATGGACCCATTATGTCTCTTGGACGTTCAGCTGCATGACAAAGAGGTGGTTGCTTGCAGAAGGCAGTACAGCAAGTAGGCTACGGAGAGTCCACCTGCGAGGCAGAATTTGAGTTTTCTTCCCCTTGAATGCGCTCGGTTGTGTGTTTTTTTTTTGTTAAATAGCACTACGGTTTCCTGGAACGAGAAAGAGAAATCTTGTTCGGGGCACCAATTCTGTGCCGCTTTCCATCAAAGTGTTCGGTATCATCAGTACGGAAGCTGACGGGGCACTGTCGGGCCAAAACGAGTTTGCATATTTTTGCCAAATGTCCTCTCAGCGCGTGTGTTGCGTCTGCAGGCTCTGGGCGATAACGCTCTGAACAGCGTGGCCCGTTTTTCTCCAGGGCGAGCCCCAAACGGCGACCCAACTTGGCGCTGAAGCTTCGTCCGTGGCGGAGCGTCGTTGAAGAGCGTTTATCGTGACCCTTCCCCCCGTCCCCCGTCCCCCGTGTTGCAGATGGACCGAGCTGACACCAAACATCCCAGTGTAGCAGGGCCCTCCTGTAAAAAAAAAAAGAGTCTTGTGGCTCTCCTGTGTAATAAGCACTCGCTACGACGGCCGTGTATTTATAAGTGGATGTACATACATTTTACATTTATTTACGATGCTTTTCTTTTTTGTACAAGCCTTCATATTTCAGAGAAAAAAAAATCCGAACCAATTATTTTTTCATACTCTACATTTAGTAACATATCACGTATTAAATAAACACTTGAATCGTGCTTTTTGCCATCCTTACATTGTTACAGCTCTCCGCGGGCACTAGCGTAGCGCGAAGTCAACTCCAGTTTGCGCCGATTTCGAACGGGCGGCGACGTGGGCCCAGCGGCGGCGCGCTCGCCACCCGTTGCAGAGCTTCACGCCGCGGTGGCAAATATGTTAACTACCTCGCCAGGTTTACAGGAGATCATTGGTTCAATCCCGACCCCGATGCCTGTGTACTTGAGAGTTTGCGTGATCGCATGCATTTTTGCACGGGTCTTGCGGTTTTTCCCCCTCCGCATTTCGAATCGACGTCACGCGTTTAGAGTGTTTGGCTGCTGTACATTTCCACGTGACAAGCCACTTCGCTGAGCTGTCATTTGTGGCCAGGTTGCTTCTGAAAAAGAACTGGACAACTCAATGGGCATTACCTGGTAAAAAAACATTTATTTTAGTTTTTTCACCGTTCGAATCCAGCTGCCACCCCTGTTTAATACCACGGTGGGCGTATTAACCATGAAATACCACCACGACACGCCGTCTGCTTCACGGTGGATGTTATAGATGCCGTGACATCGTTCACAAGGGTACGCCACTGTGTGTGCCGGCATCACGGTCCAAATTTGGCAAAATGTGAAAAACTACACCGCAAACTACTCGCTTGAAATCTCCACAATAGCAATCATCGACTCAAACTCCACCCCCCCCCGTCCCTGGCACACCGACTGCGAAAACTTTACTTTACAGGACCCTCCGGAAAAAAAAATATTCACGAACCAAAAAATGTGAAGCGTAATAATAACCCTGACCGCCTTTCCCTCCCCGTATAAATAATCCCGCAGCGATGCATTTGTCTCCATGTAATATTCAGTCGCCCCCCACGTGAGCGGGCTGCCGAGTGCCCAGCATCCATCTGTCGGGTTGAGTTCTCGCCCCCCCCCCCGCCCCACCGCACGCTCCGCGGAGGTTGACAGAAAGCAAAAGTGAAAGAAGGAGGCCGCGCGGAGATGAATCTTTAATTGGCGTCACCGCCGCCCTCGCGTGCGACGCAAACGCATCGTGCACCCCCAGCGCGAGCCGCGATCCTCCTCAGCCTCCTTCCGCTCGCTCTCTTGAAGCTCCAACGAACCGGCCCACCACACCTGCCCGCCTGAGAACCACCTTCCCCACGAGGTCCTTTTCACCGAGCCCCAAGGGGCAGTGAATGAGGGGCAGAGGATAAGGAAGGCGGTGGGGTTCAAGGACGCCCACAAGCCCTCCCCGAAAGCGTGGTGACGTCGGACTTCGAGACCGGGAGGAGCAGCGGCCTGCCGTACACCCGACGTCTCGACTCAGAAGTTTGGGACGCCGCCGCCCACACCAAAAAAACAAGAGCAGAAGGGAAGCCGAACCCGGCACTGACAGCGGATGCCACTTCCGCCCGGGACCGCGTGGCAACCCCCCACGCCCAAAGATCTGTGGATCCAGAATTGGACTTCTCGGCCACCTCAAGAGCAAAGCGTCCAAAGCTGACGGGCGTCGGTCTTCGAACCCCGAGGGACTGCCGACGACGAGGTGCCCTCTCTTTCCGGCCACTCATTCCTCGGCCCTTGCACCGCCCCTGCCGTCTAAATCACTCCATTGTTGTTACCGCTTTTAAAAAAAAAACTTTGTTTTCGAGAGCGCCTTGGCTCAAGGCGCTCGCTGTAACAAATTTTGAATATGAAGTGAGAATGCAAATGATCAATTCACCTGCCGGGTGAAAAGCCTCCCAAAGTCCAGCGTCGTGAAACCGCTCGGCCAACCGGCCACCGCTACGCGTTTGTTACCACAAGTGCAGCGGACGTCTGGTTCACCATCGTCATCCACGTCAACACCGTGCGGCGTAATCATTCAGCCAGCGCCTGCAGAAAATATACTTTCGTTATTTATGGGGGGAATTAGAGAACAACGAAATAAAAGTACGTGTGTATTTTGAACTTCTTTCGCACCGTACGTAGCCAACCGTGCTCATCGGAGGTGCGGGACTGAAATTACGATTGATGACGATGGGCGACGGTAATGGACAGGGCGGCGTCCCAAGGAAGGGACATGCAACTCGCGCGTCGACCGCCGCCGGGAGACGGAGCGACGACATGGGCTCACGTGCGGCTGCTCGACGGATCGCCGCATCGCGAAACCCACGAGATATGGCGACGGCTCGGGGAGGCCTCCATCCAGCAGTGGATTGATCGTGTCTGCAGCTGATGACGATGACGCTGCTGCTGCTGTTGCTGATGGCCATGATGAGTCAATGACACGTGCGCAAAAGGGGGGAAACACGGCTTCGGAGACCCGCGTCGTGAGCGCCAACGTCACGCGCTCTGGTGCGAGAGAGCGATGGAAACGCGAATGAAATTTGACTTTTGAGATTCAAAAACGGTGGTGGTGCTGGGGGGGGGACATTTTTTTTGGGTCAAAATAGAGAAACAGAAATTCACGCGTGAGACCGTAGCCTGCAGAGCGCACGAATGAAGTGGAAAATGTGACACCTTGTTTTTAACACGACGGGAACTTATTAAAGGCGGTCTCTCGACTCAGCTGAGTTGACGGTTGACATTTGGGTGTCACGTGGAGTCAGAAGGAAGCGCATTTTAAAGGGCACCGTTCGAAACAACGAGGGTCAGGTCCGCACGATGAGATGCGGCGTCTTTGTGAGCACACACGGGCACTGGGCTTCCACCTCGCTCTCAGAAACGCTCACTTGAATAAAAAAAATTAAATTAACAAATCAACGTTCCCATGCGCAGCCCCGCAATTTCTCGCTCACGCCACCGCTGACAGAAGCGGCCTCCAATGCAGGAAGCTCTCTAGAGGGTCAAGAACTCAAAGCGACCCAGGATGAGTCTCATTTGCAAGTGCGACCCAGGGTACTTTTGCCTACTCTTCCCCGATGGCCAGACGTCTGAGAAGAGGTGGGAGCGCCCACGATTTACCCCGCCACCAAACACGACCTGCCCGATCGACCGTGGCATACCCAGAGGTGGAGGGAGTGTGGTGTGTGGGAGAGTGGTGTGTGTGGGAGAGGGAGTGTGGTGTGTGTGGGAGGTGTGGTATGTGTGGGAGTGTGGTGTGTGTGGGAGAGGGAGTGTGGTGTGTGTGGGAGTGTGGTGTGTGTGGGGGGAGGGAGTGTGGTGTGTGGGGGAGTGTGGTGTGTGTGGGAGAGGGAGTGTGGTGTGTGAGAGAGGGAGAGTGGTGTGTGTGGGAGAGTGGTGTGTGTGGGAGAGGGAGTGTGGTGTGTGTGGGAGTGTGGGAGAGGGAGTGTGGTGTGTGTGGGAGTGTGGTGTGTGTGGGATGGAGTGTGGTGTGTGGGGGAGAGGGAGTGTGGTGTGTGTGGGAGTGTGGTGTGTGTGGGAGAGGGTCGGGGATGGAATTTAAGAAACTTTGCCCCATTTTATTTGGTTATTTCGGTAGATAGAAGAAAAATAATAATGAAGTTTATTATTGTCAGGACCCTCTTGCAAGAAACAAAGATGATAAGAACAATAAAGTTTTTTTTTTCTATCTACGTGACGTAGATAGAAAAATTATAATAAAGTGTATTATTATTTTTCTATCTACGTGACTTTACCGAAAGAACCAAAGAATATGAATTCCTGCAGTCACGTAAGTTTTAAACGTTAGCGCCCGATGTTAGAGCGGTGAAAGAGCTGAGATGCAACTTGGCTCCGGCAAACTTACCTCTTCTTTGGTTCTCTCGGTAAAGTCACCACGTAGAATGAGAATAAAATAATATATTAATAAAATAAAATAACACAATTAAATTATCACGACGTTTCGGCCACAACACAAGTGGCCACTTTCGTGACTGCAAGGATTCATCTTCTTTGGTTCTTTCGGTAAAGTCACGTAGAATGAGAACACAATAATAAATTAATAAGAATAAAATAACACAATAAAATTCTCACGACGTTTCGGCCACAACACAAGCGGCCTTGTGTGGCCTTATGTTGTGGCCGAAACGTCGTGAGAATTTTATTGTGTTATTTTATAAATTTATTATTTTATTCTCATTCTACGTGACTTTACCAAAAGAACCAAAGAAGATGAATCCTTGCAGTCACGAAAGCTTTAAATCGAAATTTAAACTTCCTTTTGTTGGGGCGAATGCATGCCAATGTCTGCTGTCACGCCGCCCACGACTCAACGCCAAACTTTCAGAACAATTGGATTGCATTTGGTTCACGTTTTGCCGCTGAAACAACGGGCCAATTTTTTTTACTTAACCCACGTCCATACAAAACCTTCCACGGCAGCCCGGCCACGGAATGAGGCGCTGAGTTTGTCACGGCCAAGGCGCGCTCTTGAACAGAGTTATGGCTCGTTAACAACAACAACTACGATTTAAAGCTTTCATGACTGCAAGGATTCATATTCTTTGGTTCTTTCGGTAAAGTCACCACGTAGAATGAGAATAAAATAATAAATTAATGAAATAAAATAACACAATTAAATTCTCACGAGGTTTCGGCCACAACACAATTGGCCGAAACAACACAAGTGGCCGAAACGTGAGAATTTTATTGTGTTATTTTATTTTATTCATTTATTATTTTAGTCTCATTCTACGTGGTGACTTTACCGAAAGAACCAAAGATGATGAGCAACAACAACAAAACGTCGATTCCCGTTCAAATTTTTGTCACGTGGGAAAAGCCACGCGAAATGACCCCATATATGGGGCATTAAAAAGTTAACATAATTTATTGTTTATTCTATCGCGGATTCATTTTACTGTACCCTATTACGGCGCTACTCCCGCATGTTTCAGGCGGTGAAGCTGAACCGGGGCCCACGGCCGGGAAGGGGTCCAAGCGCCGGACAGTCTCGTCCCTTCACCTAATGAAGGCCGCTTGTGTTGTGGCCGAAACGTCGTGATTTTTTTTGTTATTTTATTTTCACCTACGTGACTTTACCCAATACAACCAAAGAGTATGGATCCTAGCGGTCACGAAAGCTTTAAATCTAGAATTGGGAGACATTTAATTTATTTATTGATTGCATCAGAGCCCATGCCAAGCCACACTAAACCACCGACAGGACCCTCCTGCAAAAACAAAAAAACAAGGTCTTAAGACTCTGCGATGCTATTCTGGGTAAACAAACCGCATTATATATCGGCAGCCATGTAGACCCACGTGTGAAATGAAAGAACGGGGAGGTACTCGGATAAATTTATACCGCGTTTACCACGTGGCAAAGCTTTCGGGACCAATGTGATTCATAATGAAGGTTTTTGGGTTAGATCGCTTAAGTATGAATGCTGTGTCGTAACCCTCCACCACCCGACACGGCCAATTGGTGAGGGATTTGTCACGTAAACAAAACGGCAATTAGTTCCTATTTCAGCCCACCGGTGTGTTGGAGAGTAAATTCACAACATTTACAATTTCAGTAGTACGACGTTTCGCTGGTAATTACATGCAGCATCATCGGGCGATTTGCCAGAATAGTGGCAAATCCACGCGACCACGGGGAGAGAGACACCGCAAACTCCAAATAAACAGCAGCAGGCGTCAGGGTGAGGATCGAACCCACGACCTCCTGCGTACCAGGCGACGTAGTTAACATCTCCTAGCCACCGTGATGATGAGAGAGAGACACCACAAACTCCAAATAAACAGCAGCAGGCGTCAGGGTCAAGATCGAACCCACGACCTCCTGTACACCAGGTGAGGTAGTTAACATCTCCTAGCCATCGTGATGATGATGATGATGAGAGACACGCAAACTCCAAATATACAGCAGCAGGCGTCAGGGTCGGGATCGAACCCACGACCTCCTGTACACCAGGTGAGGTAGTTAACATCTCCTAGCCACCGTGACACCCCTTTAATAAAAAAAAGTTAAAATTGCATCATCATCATCAGTGGCAGCCGAAGGAGGGAACGCGTCTGAGAGGATACGACCATGGTGGAGACGGAGCGATGAAATCAACTCGCGCGCAGGCGCGAGGTGGATTGTGAGATCGCAGGGCCCTGAAGGGTGTCGACGAATTGGGGAGGCCTTCATCTAGCCAGAGATTGACCGTGGGGCTCATGCTGTGATGGTGATCCGCAGAGGATCGTTTGAGTGTCTTCCCCTCGATTTCCTGGGTATTCCCCAGACGCTCTGGCTTCCTCCCACAAATGATGACGTCCAAGCAGTGAGGGGCTTCACCGAACAGCACCAAGCAGCCTTGAAACGCATCTGAATAAAGCATGCCAGTAAAACGTGGAACGTCAGGCAAAACGTTGATTCGACGTTGCGTGTTTACAGGGCATCATATGGTGATCACCCGGAATTCGGCCGACCTCATCGGGGCTCAGAAGATAAGCGAAGTTTACCCTGCGTTGTGTTTGGATGGGCAACCACCATTCACAAAGCAGGTGCTATAGGCTGTTGTGTGGCTACCGTGACGCGCAGCAGAGGGCAACAATCCACCGTTGTAGTCGACCTTGCTCCCACGTCGATGCTCGCCACCTTCACCGAGCAGCAATAACCGGCGTGGTGAAGTATGGTCAGAGAGCTCCCGACGACCCGCACGCTGTGGGGAGGCTCTCATCCATCAGCGGATTGACAGAAGGACTCGGTGCAAACCACCCGCAGTGTGACGCCACCAAGCCCCGCCCATCACCCTCCCGTCCAGCGAAAACACGTGGAACACATTATTTTCGTGTTGTCCGGTAATCGATTATTTAAATAATCGGATGCCCCAGCCCAAGATTATATTAATCGGTTTTTTTAAAATTAACATTTGTTTCAAATTTGATAAATTGCTGGAAAGTTGCTCGCAGTGAATTGGGATAAAATCGCAGAGCAACGTCGACCCCCCACGTCCCTCGCACCCACCCCTACCCCCCAAAGTGGCAGGCGAATGCCCACTCACAGGCTGGCACTCCGTCACATCGCGTGCCACACAGGAACAGCTGCTACTGGGGAGGGTCCCCTCGGCTGAAACATCAATAAACTGCGCTCTAAGACGTTCCGTTATAATTACCATCTAACGCAGGTTTTTTTTATTTGCACGCTTTTATTTAACTCACTCTGTCTGCTGTTGTTGTTGTTGACGTGATTGCTAAGCTACAGGGTGATTTCAACAAACTACAACATCAGCTAGTTGCTCTTAAACTAGTCCTGAATACCTCCAAAACCAAGGTGCTATGCTTCTCACCAGGACTAAAGCAGGAAGTTATTTTAACCCAATTACATTCCTTAAATAATTATCAAATAGAGCAAGTCAAGATCTATAAATATCTTGGGGTCATCCTGGATTCAAAACTGAATTTTGAAGATCATATTGATTATATTGGTAAGAAGACAAAAATAAAAATAGTTTTTTTGTATAGACACAAGCACTGCTTCCCCCCAATGTTCCGTTTGGAATTGATAAAAGCTACCAAACTGCCTCTACTTGACTACTGTGACATCGTGTATAAATCAGCCCCAAGTACTGTACTGAAGAAGCTTGATGCCATCTATCACTCGGCCTTAAAATTTACATTGAACTCTACATTGGGTCAAACTTAACATCTCTTAATGATCGACGGCTTGTGCACCAGATCTTATTTTTTCACG